GTAAGGTTCCTAGTGAAGAGGTAAAATAGGCCATGTTCAGCATGAAGTCTAACAAAACTCATGTCCTTGATGGATACTCATTGTACTTCTATAAGGCTCACTAGAGTGTGATAGGAATGGATGTCACTGCTGCCATTCGGTCCTTATTTAGACTATTAATATGCCCAGTGAAGTTAATTATACTATCCTAGCTTTAATTTCTTATACCAAATGCTTACCAAATGAAGTTTTTTAGGCTCATCTCGTGCTAAAATGTGTTTATAAGTGTGTGGCAAAGATTCTTTCAAATAGACTGCCCAAAGTACTTCGGGGTCATAGGGAAAAGTCAATTAGCCTTTGTCAAAGGTAGAGTGATAACATACTCATGGCTTTAGAGTTGGTGAATGGATATGGAAGGGAAAACATCTCATCTAGATGTACTCTTAAAATAGACTTGATGAAGGCATTCGACTCACTAGATTGTACCTTTCTTCTTACTATTTTGAAAGTCATGGGAATGTTAGTTAAGTTTCTTGAGTGGATTGAAGCATGTCTTACTACACCTATGCTCAGTGTTGCTGTGAATGGAGGATTGCGTGGGTATTTTCCTGAAAAAAAGGTTGAGGCAAGGAGACCCTTTGTCTCCTTTCTTATTTACTATAGCTATGGAGATATTATCTTGTATTTTCATAAAGGCAGCTGAAGAGGGTTCTTTCTCTTACTATCCGAGGTGTAGGCATCTAGGAATAACCCATATGTATTTGCTGACGAGCTACTGGTGTTTACTGATGGAACAGAGCAAGCTCTGTGGGAAGTGTGTAGGGTATTACATAGTTTCTATCTCTTGTTTGGACTTCTATCTAACTATGAGAGAAATCAGATTTTCTATGCTAGTATGAGTGATGAAAAGCATGAGGAACTAACTGCCATAACTGGATTTCAGAAATCTAAATTGCTTGTGCTACTTAATGGGTCGTTCACTTGCCATTCTGTTTTCTATTGCTGCCACAACAGAAAACAAATTAAAATGAAAACGAAACTGTCATTTCCTGCGAAAAAATCATGAAGAAACTTGTTTAGCTGAGAATTTTGGTGAATTCTGAAACTGAATTATGAAAATGAAAATCTGTTTAGTTACTCCATATTGGTTTTCTGGTACTTGATTATGTTTATTCATTGAGTATTATACAGCTCTAATAATAATTTTTAATACAAATCACAATTATTAAACTACTAATATACACAATACATTGTCACAAATAAGTGCTTATTCAATGATCACACTACCAGTAAATTATCAAGGCGGGAAGGAGTAGACATGGTCATTTCCCTACCAAAATTGGGTAGCAGCAGTATAAACCAACAATGACCAAAGCTTGATAATTGTATAGTGTTTCACACAGGTAACTACTGGCCAACAACATGAAAAAGAAATGATCCCACAAGTTCATCATTACAGGAGAAGAGCAATATTCTGGGATTGTCTGCATACATAAAATTCCAATATTCTGTCAAACAGCGTCTGCAACAGACTCTCAACCCGTGATTTAGATCATCATTGCGATCGTTTTACCAAAATGATTGTATAGGGCCTAGTGTAGTGATCATTGCAATAAGAAGAATCCACTTCTAGATATAATACCTGCAGTTTTACTAATCTGGCTGGCGGACATAATATAGTGATATACCATCCATCAATCAAGCATGAGAGGAGACTTCTAACTTAGGAACAAACGATACATTCAAACTTGTACAAATTAAACATAAGCATACTAGGAAACTGTGAATTGTTCTCTTTGATTAACTAGGATTAGAACTTTCAAACCCAATTCTGAGATGTGTGTATGCTAAGAACAACTCCGTCAGTCGCCTGGCCCTGCTTTGGGTGATGCCATTGGCTACCTAGAGAGAGAAGTGACGAAGAGAGAAGCCAAACTTCTTCAAAGGAGGCAGGAGCTTCAATTCGTCGCTACTGCTTCTTTTTGCCGGAAGGAGATGGAGAGGATGGCACCGCTTGTGGTCTTGCGGGAGAACGAGCTTCTCGTCACAGACACGAGGTTGCTGGAGGGAGAGCACAGCTCCGCAGGTGGTATGGGGGGAGAAGGAATTAATGAAAATAAAGCCCTCCAACTTCTATCTAGCCTTTCTAGTTGTTTGCTTTTCCCCCTTCAATCCAACCAATTTGCATGTAGAATGGAGGAGGAATCAATCGGCGGCTGCTGCTTGCTAGGGTTGGCGGAATGGGGAAATAAGTGCAAAAATAAAAAATAAAATCACATGTGGGACTCAAACCCAGGATTTCATTTAACTACAATGCCACTTCTCCGCTGGGCAACAGGGAGAAACCCGTGTGTAATATTTCGGAAAACAGGTATTTGTTGTTTCCACCCAGGTATCAATTTATTGCCAACTTGATTTCCCAACAAAAATCAAAATGAAAAATGAACACATTTTTGTTCTTTTAATTTGTGCTGTGACAACAAAAAACAGAAAACAAAATGGGAAGTGAACAGAGCGTAAGAGTACTATTAATAACAGGAAAGCTTACTAATGTTGATTGCCAAGTCCTCTTTTAAGAATAACTACAAGACTGAAGGGTTGGACGCCTTGAATGTTGAGCTATGTTGGGAGAATGGAACTTATTAATTTGACCATATCAAGCATAATGCAGTATTTGATTAACAACGGCCTGTTCCCACTGTAAATAATTAAAGATTTGAAGACCCAATGTAGTCAATTCCTATGTGTGATCGATGAAAACTCTGCAAGAAGAGGGATTGTGGTAGTTTGGGACAAACAATTCCTAAATAAGAAGAGGACTGGGAAGTGTCTTCGCACCTAAAATTTTGCTTGTACCGCTAGACACATCTGGAGCATTTTGGTAAAAATAGAATCTTGGTGGGCAGGGGCGGACCTACGTTAGAGGAAGGGTGTGTCACCCGATGCACTTTGGCCCGAAATTTTTGTGAGGAATCCACATTTTTTTTGTACAAAAAATTCGAACATGTGACCTCCGGCACACCTTCGATAATTGTAATCGACATACCTTCTTACATTAAAATATTTTTGTTGCCATAATGTTATTAAAATATGTAAATATAAGAGTTATCAGACTTTAATTTGGACTAGGTTGTTAATTAGTTTATTATAAAAAAAAGTAAACAATTAATTGACTACTTAGTACATAGTGAGTATTCAGAGAGATAGCTATCACCTTAGACATAACCTCGATAAATTAAATGAAAATTGAATTGATTAATAAGTTGCTTGAATCAAGTAATTAGATAGTGAATTTCGTGTCGTTTTTCCTCGTAGCTTCTTCCATATTTTTTTCTTCATAAAGTTAATTTCCAACTTGCTTTCTAGTTTTGTTATTGCTTTTCACGTTGACACTTGTCGCCATCCTCCAATTGTCGGCGTCGTGCCAGTGAAATCGTCATTCTCATTCAAACTTCCATGTTGACGCCTGTGACCACTCTTTCAGCTTCCCATCCTAGTTTTCCCATCTTAAATGAGTGTTGACTTTGCCTCTTGCAATTGCAAACTACAACATGACATTTTTCATATTATGAATAATTGTTTAGTTGTTTACATAAAAAAAGATTTGATTTGCAACCTAATGGACAAATGTAATTAAGAAATCTTTAGAATATGAAAATTCGTCATGACTCACTATAAACACAATGAAATTGGTGAAATTTATGCATAAAATATTTTTTTTTTATTTATGTTTAATTATTTAAATTTTATTTTAAAATTATTTTCATGGGCCGACACACTCAACATTCTGGGTCCGCCACTGTTGGTGGGTTGTCTGGATTTAAAAATATATGATAAAACATTATTCCTTCTAGGAACTCTCCATCATCAGCAACTATTGTTCTTAGATTTGGAAGAAAGTTTTAAAACCCAGGGACAAAGTGGAACAATATATCACTTGCTGGAACACAGAAGTATTCTGGAATGGTAAGATCTTGCTGAAATATTAAGTGAGATTGGTGAGGAATGACCTGAGGGTTGCATTTTCTAAGGTAGCTTGGTATGCATTAACATGAGAGAAATATTGTGCGTCCAGACATAGTGCTAGATGTTGGCTTGTGATAAAAGACAAGATTTTCATCAGAGATAAGTTGAAGCAATGTGGCAAAATCATTGATGACAACAATGCGCTTTGTGGAGTTTGGCCTGGAATCACGAGATCACATGTTTTTTTATTGCCTTTACTCTAAGGCTGTGTTGGAGAGTTGCATACTAATAATACAAATGCAATGTACGGGATTCACTCAGTTTGATCAGTACCTGCAGTGGGCTGTCCAAAAGTTTGGAGGGAAGAAGTCAATGGGAAAGATTGAGAGACTCTTATGGGATTTAATGGTAAGCATGATAAGGAGGGAACGATGCAACAGATGTCGTGAAGTGCATTTACTGTTAGTTCACAAAATTAAGAGTACATTTGAGCACGTATGTCTGGGAAATAGCATATTGCATACTCAATGTCTCTTGCATGGTATTGGCTAATGATAGAATTTGCATATAAAGGCTGTTGTGAAAGTACTTGTGTAGATATCACTCTTTGATGAGTTTTGTATGATTGTAATTACTTCTCCTTGCATTCTCAATTGAGAATACCATATGTGCTTCAATAAAATTTTGATTAATCATAAGAAAGTCTAGTGGATGGGAAAGTTGGGGCTAGTGTGTAAAATAAAATCTAAAGTGAATTCAATTTAGTACTTAAACCTTTCTAGTACCTTTCTAGTGGTGGAATTAATCTTGTTCCTATACTAATAAGATAATGACCAATGGGTCGATCATTTCCCTAGTCGCTCTTTTTGTTGTTGTTGTGATGGTGTAGTTGAGTTATCCAATCAAATTTTTCCGGGATCAATCAACCACTTTTTTATTTGTAATGGTACAACTGTCCCATCAAGTCAATCATATTTTGGTAGCCGCCCACTATTTTGTCCAAATCACATAACAAAGTTCTAACATATTTTTTTTATATATGAGGTATTTTATCATCATTTATGTCTTATTTATTGAATAATTCGATTAACCATTAGAATTCTTGAAAAATCTTCGTGATATATGAAAAGATGGTTAATTGCACCAGATGCCACTTAACTCTTAAAATTGTTGCATGTTAACCACTTAACGTAATTTCGTTGCAACTAAAGCTTGTAAGTCGTATTATGGGTGCACCATCACCACTTCTGTCATTAGACGTAACGACAGGTACCGAAGTGGTTATTTACTATGCCACGCAAGCAGTACATGTCAACAAATCTATTGAGTCATGTGCGGGCCTCATCAAACCCTAGGCCCACCTACATTGAACGAAATATTTGAGCAAGTGATGAGTGACTCCTCGCATTCCTGCTCTTTCTTCTCTGCAAAATTTTCGACACTAAAGAAGAAAACCATTCCTCTCTAGAGAAAACCGAATTAGCAAAGCCGATCGTGAGGAGTAAAGGGAGGCGGTTCAACAAGAAGATTGTGAGAAGAAAGTTGAACAATATCGTCACACCTTCCTTTGCTTATGGTAATTGAATCCGGCCCCTGCAACTTCAATTTTTTCATTCTTCCTCTGATTCTATAATTTTGTTTGCTTTTCGTGATGTTTCTAGGGATTTGAAACAAGAGACTGACGAAGATAGGTTGTTTATGGATTGAAGTATGCGAGTCAATTATGGATTCTTTAGAAGATGAAGTGATGCTCTGTTCTTCAAAAAAATTATGTGTTTATTACTGTTGGGTTCCATAGCAAGCTTGTCCAAGGTTTTAAATTCCAAAGAGTTGTTATACCAGGCTGGTTATATCACTTTTGTTCGAATTACAAACATGAGCCCAACCATCAGGGAAGTAGGAGACAGTGATCGGATTTCAACATATGGTGAGTTACCTTTCATCAAACTGCTGCAATTTTCGTCATCTGCTATAATTTGCTGCAAGTTTCAGCATATTAGTAGTTCAACACCTGCTGCAATTTTCAACGTATTGATAGTTAAACACCTGCTGCAATTCCATTTATAATGTTTATTGTTATCTTAGGACCAAATACAAGCAATACTCATGCTAGTCAAATGCTCAATTGGTCATGAAGTCGATCATTTATAGTAATTTCCAATCGAATTAATAGCAAAATAAAAGAGCAGAAGTGAAACTGGCAGAGGAATTCCTGAAAGAACTCATCGAGAAGAGAAACAGGGAGGCCGTAGCTCGACAAGAAAGTTGTCGCGGCGGGCGGATGCAACAATGGTGGTGGAGGTGAGTGATAACTTATAAGCGAAAGCAATGAAGTCGTTGTTGGGAACCGAGGAAGCATTCGATTGGTGCTTCCAAGTTGGACTCTTCTTTCTCTACCTCTCTCGAAGTCTGGACGTTACCGATTATCGTCGCGACAACGGCGGTGGAGTGGTAGAGATCGGAGATTGCTCGTTTTGTTTTCAGGATGGTCTTTTTGGCCCCTCTTTTGCTGTGGAATGACTCAGCAGATTTGCCAGACATGTACGCCTGTGTGGCATGACAAATTACCACTTGGGTACCTGCCGTTACGTCTATAATACGACTCACAGGCTTTAGTTGCAACGAAATTACGTTAGGTGCAACGAAATTACATTAAATGGTTAACATGCAATTAACCCTATGAAACGACGAATTCCGTTGGAAAAGAACACGGGCTTCTACTGAAAATGCCTTAACCACGACAAGATTACACAGTTACAACTCTGATCAATTCTTTCATTTACCCAGGCACACACTTTGAACAAGTTGATGATTGAATCATCCATCAACCTAGAGAACTTTTAAGATACATGACAATCATTAGAAATTCTTGCTCTTAATTAGGCATCTGTTTGAAGGTCAAAACTCAAAAGCTCTAATGGTGGAGGTGAAAGCGATCAGACTCCACTTCAGTACCCCGGCTACTTTCCATTAGGATTGCTCAAAGAACCACCGATAATTGGGATCAGAACCCAGCAGTTCGCTAGCCTTACAGCTCCCTGCGGCGCACAATCCACACTCTTCCAGTTCCATCCGAACCATCCCGACCCACTCGCTCCGTCGCCACCTCCTCTCCGGCGCCGACCCAATTCCAACCAACTTCTTCCCCATCTCCGCCCTCGCCTTCTCCGGCAGCCCAACCGCGATCCTCGCCTCTCTAAACGGAATCCGGCACTTCTCCCTCGCGAAACCGGCGCACTTCTCCTTCGCCGCCGCCAGGCACTCTCCCATCTCCCGCTGCTCGCACTCCTCCCTCTCCTTCAGGTCCGCAGCGCTGGGTCCGCCGCCGACCAGATTGCGCCACCAAGGGGGCTTGCAATTGTTCGACGCCGTCAAGGCGCAACCGACCCGAGCCCCGCCCTCGCACTGCTCGACGATCTTTGACTCGGTGGCGGCGTAGGCGGCGGCCCAGGATTGGGGGTTTCTGAAGGCGAGAACGTACGGGCCGAGCGATGGGTCGTCGGGTCGACCGGCGGATACGGGACCCCTAAGGAGGGGGATTGGGCGGTCGAAGAGGACGATTGTGGAGGTTGCGGAGTAGTCATCGAGGTTCGACGGGATGGAGGAGTCCACGGTCATGGTTCCGGAGATTAGTTGTTTTTAGGGTTCTTTTTGGGGATTGAAATTTTAATTGTCCGGTATGTAGTGCTGTCATTCTAGAAATCCGGGAGACTCCATCAATATTGCGATGAACGACTAATTGCCTGTTTATTCAAAAAAAAAAAAAAAAAAAAGACTAATTGCCTGTTAGTCACTGAAGTTTGCTTCCTTTCTTTTGGGGTCATTTTACTTCTCCGGAATCAATTAACTCCGGTCCGTACTTGAATATAACTAAGACTAATTTAGTGTTTGGTGAATAGAAGAAAATAGAGTAAATATTAGTTTTCGACCAAATCTTTCCTCGTATTCTAAAATATTAACTAAATTTTTTGAATTATAAAATCTTAGCCCGATCTTTAATAGACAAAGGTTTAGCCATATTATGTTACCATTAAAAGCATTGCTAACGGTTTTCCACCTCAGCTCCATGTTGGTGTCCACATCAAATTTCATTAAAAATGTACAGGTTGTTATTAAAAATAACAAAAATAGGAGAATTAAAGGCAAATGGTCAGGTTGTGTCGAATGGGATTCACTACAGCATCACCAGCTCCGTCGTTGGTCCTTTGACTCCTCGAGTTCCGCACTTGCCTTCACCGCCAAAGCTTCTAGATCTCTCCTCCATTGCCCATATGTGATAAGCCCACGAATCAATGAACTCAGCCCAACCATTGTCCAAGCTTATCGTTGCCAGGACAGGAGTAGTCTTTGGGTTTTGTTTTAGCTTGAAAGGGTATTCCCTACTGATTAGGAGGAGTAGTTGCTCGTTGTTTTGGTTGGAATAAAGTCCATCCACCTTAAGTGGAGAAAGAGTAGGCAGTAGCTAGTCGTGGAAGCATAGCTCCCACCTTGTTAGGTTTTTAGTTTCAACGATGATGTATTTAAACTAGAAGCAAAGGAATAACAAGAGAGCAGAATTTCAGTAAGTAAAACCCCTGGTAATTTCTTGCCAAGAAAAGAGAGAACTGGCTCAATCCCGCCAAAAAAAGGGAATCATTCACTCATACGATTTCAACACGTATCATTTGGTATCAGAGTCGTTGATTAGTGTTTCAATCATGACGAACTCAGAGAAACCATCAAGAGATGAACTCATCAATCGAATGATGACATCTTTGGATATTGCAAATGGCAGCTTGTCGTAGATCATCAAGGCTTACGATAGTCACCGCACCACCGCCGCAAGTTGAAGCTGCCGATTCGGTAGAGGACGATGTAGAAGATGCTGACGGCGCAAAGCCTGCACTGCCGTTTTCGTCCTTCCCTCTTGTCGCACCGACGAGTGCCTCCGAACCACCGTCGCCGCAAATCGAGACCACGACAGCCATGGAAGAGGTGGAGATCGTCGTCCCACCTATATCGATCGCGCCGCCACGGTCGCATGTTGAAGCTGTAGCCGATTCGGTAGAGAAAGAAGAAGAAGACGGCGTCACATCAGTTGCGCCTTCGATGTGGACCCTATCGCCCACAACAACGTCGCCGTCGACTATCATTGCACCGTCGCCGCCGCTCGAGAGCCTGGACGCCATGGAAACCACGAAGATCACCCCGCAGCTAAGTCTCGTTGCGCCCCTGGTCGTCGCTCCACCGCATTGGATGCCTACCGCTGCTGGTGTTGCTATCATTGCTCCACTGCCGCCGTAGATTGAAAGCTTTTTGAGTTCACCGATCGTACCCCCTGTGCACACAACATAACTGCTATCGATTCACATTGAGTTGGAGCCACCGATTGCATCAGCAGCCAAGGCCGCCCCTGCTTTGCCACGTCTCGCCGTTAAGAATCAACGGGAAGGGAAGTCATAGTCTTTGCGTGTTAACTGCTATCCGTTACAAATACAGGGAACTCTAATCCCCCAAAATTCTTGGATGGCATATTTCCACTGTGCATATACTGGCAGCCTACTAGCTTCATCCACTTCAGAGCAATTTGGCGTTGATGGTGATTTTCTCTATTGGTGGAAGAGAAGGAAAAATGGGGGAGCCAACATGGCTCTCACCTTGAAGAAGCGGGACGTGAATCCCAAGTTAAAAGGGAAGTGGCTGACTTGTTTCATGCCTGGGAAAGCAATTGAAAAAGGCGAAGGGTACTTGAAGGGAGTAAAGTTGGAGTTGGTGAACGCGAGGAATCAATTGGATGGGTTAAAAGAAATTCATTTAGGTTCCTCATCAGGTGAACATTCAGCAAAGCCAAATATTCGGTGCGTGGGTGGTGAGCAATTTAGTAGGGTAGTTTCAGGAGCTGTTGGTGAATTCTTTTTCGGAAAGAACGGCTTGGGTGGTCGTATGATATGCCTAGTGGAACATAAAAATAGATACAAGAAGCCTAGCTTTGATGAGGGACTTCCATTTAATTTCCCTTTGCAAAAGAAGAAGGAAGTGAAGAAGTGCACTAGGACCTGTCGTGGGAAGCTGGAGCTCTCGGTGATAGGAGCTGCACAGAGGTGGTCGGCGCAATTGGAAGCATCGTAAATGAAAATCTTCTTTTACATTGGTCCGGGTTGAGTATGGTTTGCGATAATTCGCGAATTAACTTGAACCTTGAGGACAAGGTTCTTTTGAAGGGGGAAGGAATGGTGCGTATAGATTTATTAGAGTTTCCATAATTTGGATTAGTTATTATTATTAGTAATTTTAGGGAGAGATTATGGTAGTTGTTTGAGGGCAATGGGTTGTTGAGAGTCAATAGGCATGTCCACCTTAAGTGGAGTTAGATCAGCAGCATTCGCAGCTCAACGTGGATGTTAGCTCCACCTAGTTAGGATTTTTCTCTTTCATCTATGATGTATTTATATGAAGAACGAAATGAATAATAGGCAAGCAATTTCAGAATTAAGAAAACTCTGGCCATTCTCGCCAAATAATACGTGTTGAAATCGTATGAGTGAATGAATCCCTTTTCTTGGCGGGATTGAGCCAGTTCTCTCTTTTCTTGGCGAGAAATTACCAGGGGTTTTACTTACTGAAATTCTGCTCTCTTGTTATTTCTTTGCTTCTAGTTTAAATACATCATCGTTGAAACTAAAAATCCTAACAAGGTGGGAGCTATGCTTCCACGACTAGCTGCTGCCTACTCTTTCTCCACTTAAGGTGGAGGGACTTTATTCCATCCAAAACAACAACTACTACTCCTAATCAGTAGGGAATACCCTTTCAAGCTAAAACAAAACCCAAAGACTACTCCTGTCCTGGCAACGGTAAGCTTGGACAATGGTTGGGTTGAGTTCATTGATTCGTGGGCTTATCATTACCACCCCCTCAAAAACGGCCTTGTCCTCAAGGCCGAGTTGATTGAAACGATCATCGAAAATGGGAGACAACTCCCAAGCAGCATCCACGGAAAGGGGCTCTTCCGCTGTAGATTTCTGTTGTATGTGAACAACTGTGTTGAGTCATAGGACCACATCTGCTTCACTTCCTTGAAAATTTTCACTCCTAGCTCCTTTGCAGTGCGAAGCCATGTATGATACCCATGTATTATGCTTTTGTAAACAGCCAACAACGACAACAAACTGAGCTTCACAATGGTCGAATCATGGTCTTTGCAGAGTTGAATAATTTCTTTCAAATAACTTATATTAACCTCGGGATCAGCCTGCAATGCCAATCCGACAAACACCGACTCAGCAAGTTTCATCTTCTTACTTTTGAAGATTTGGGTCTCTGGTAGAACAACAGCCTGTGGAGCTTCATCTCCTTTCTCCACAACAACTCCATTAGCGAGCTTCGTGGACTCTTTCTTACTCTTCTTTGGTTGGGCCATCCCTTGAATCCTGCTCAACCTCCCCAAACCCATATTCCTTTGATCATCGACAGCTGCATCCTCGAGCTCCTCGTCGTAAGCCTTCTTCAATAGAGTTCCATAATAGAACTTTTTGTGCAAAAAATTGGCTGGAAGCCCTTCTACATGTCCAACTCCTACCCTCTTGTCTTCCTCCCCAATATCCTTCTTCCTTTTCTTCTTCCTTTTCTTCCACCAATAGAGAAAGTAGCTATCAACACCAAACATTCCTAGAGAAGTCTCACGTTTCTTCCTAAATCTCCAAGGGTTTATTTGACCCAATATTCTTCTGCCTCTATTGTAAATAACACATCTGGTGGTTATTCTGATACCCAGTGATAAGACGTACCCATTTATTTGTCGTGGACGACCCTTAACCAACAAAGTTTGCAGCTTTTCCACATGACGATGCTTTACGTCGAGGCTTGGTGAAAAAGGAGCGGTTATGGCTGTTGGTTCAAGTTGTGATTCCATCTCAATGACAATCGATGGCAGGTCTGCTGTGTGCACAGGGGATGCGATCGGTGAACTCACTAAGTTTTCAATCTGCGGCGGCAGTGGAGCAATGTCAACAGCAACAACAGCGGTAGGCATCGACAGTAGTGGAGCGATGACCAGTGGTGCAACGAAGCTTGGTTGTGGATTGATCTTCGTGGCTTCCATGGCGGTGAGGGTTTTGAATTGCAGCGGCAGTGGTTGGGAGACACTAGTCGGGGCGGCTAGAGGGAACGACGACAACGACAACGGCTGTACAAGCTTTGCGCCAACAACATCTTCTTCCTCGTCCTCTACAAACTCGACTAGAGCTTCAGCTTGCGACGGTGGCGGTGCAGGTGCTACAGGTGGGATGGCGATCTCCGCCTTTTCCATGGCGGCCAGGGTCTCAACTCGTAGCGGCGTTGGTGTTGTTGCTGACATGTGTTTGTCATATGAAGCAATCATCTTGCTGCAGGTAGCGATGACACTGTCTAGCATTTGGATTTCCTAATTGATGAGTTCCTCTCTTGACGGTCTCTCTGAGCTCATCGTGATCGGAACCCGGATCAACGGCTCTGATACCAAATGATACATGTTGAATTTGGATAGCTCCCTTTTCTTGGCGGAGTAGGCCATGTTTCTCTTTCTTGGTGAGAATGGCCAGGGTTTTCTTAATTCTGAAATTGCTTGCCTATTATTCATTTCGTTCTTCATATAAATACATCATAGATGAAAGAGAAAAATCCTAACTAGGTGGAGCTAACATCCACGTTGAGCTGCGAATGCTGCTGATCTAACTCCACTTAAGGTGGACATGCCTATTGACTCTCAACAACCCATTGCCCTCAAACAACTACCATAATCTCTCCCTAAAATTACTAATAATAATAACTAATCCAAATTATGGAAACTCTAATAAATCTATACGCACCAATATGGATGCCATATCCAATATCCCAGATAGACGTTGTCGTTCCGCCTTAAGCCCTCTCGATCTCTCTGCCTGCAGTCACCAAAGCACAACCCCCATCTAATCTTCTGGCACTCAAATCGCGTGCAACCCCCAAACCCATAATTGAAACCCTTCAAGTTCCGATCAAGCTACCCTTAAATCGAGCAATCCGTACTAATTAAAACCCAAAAAATCCACTCCCAAATCCAGTAATCGGCTACCCCAAATTTGAAAATCCTATTGAGTGTCTTGATGGATCTTGCCAAAGTAGAGAGGGTCGTTGAGTTGAGAAGAAAAGAACCAACATCCGCCTCTATTTATCCTTGCTGACGTCAGACCACGCCCTTGCATGGTTCAAACGCCCTGCCTCCATTTGCCTGATTTGTCGTCGTTCGAAACTAGTGTCGCCGTCCGAACCAACGAGGAATCCCAAACTAGTGTCACCTGCTCTACTCCTCTTCGCTCGACAAAAAATGGAGCAGAAAGGACGATGACAAAATGGAGAAGAAGGCCATTGGAAAGAAGGAACCAAAACGTTAGTTACCGCCCTATCGTCGCACTATTGCTCCAATCCTTTCGACTTCGTCCAACAAACTTCGATCGGTAATTCTTTCATGCACGGGAACGGGGAAAGAGGAGAAAGCAGAGAAGGAGATATAGTGATGGTGCCACGTCAGAATATTCCTTCCACGTCATCACTACTTCTGCTATCTCACTATCATAAAAAGATAGTGTTAACGGAAATTTAACAGTTGGCTAGTATTTTGTATTTCGAAAAGTTAGGCTAATATTTTAGAATCTAGAAAAGGTGTGGCTAAAAAATAGTATTTTTTCAAGAAAATAATTGGAAGAGACATAATAAGGTGTCGATGGAGAAGCTAATGTGTTGCACTGTTATCAATGAATATAGTCTTGAAATTAACGTTGTGTTCTTTTAGGAGACAAATGGGAGGGGAAGAAAGAAAGGAGAAAAATTATGCTTTCCGAAAATTTTTCGCCATTCTCAAAGCTAGCTACAGGGGTAAGGGATAGAAATTGGGAAGGAAATCCTACTGTTTCACCTTCATCTTCGATTTGGGGGGAAACTGGTCAATGGTGAACGAATTAATAGGAAGTGTAATTTAATTAATAAACAGGAATAATACCCTATTTTGACTCAGAGTTTGAAGTAATATCACTTTTGGCCTGAACTTTAAATAATACGGTTATGGCCCACTTTTGAAATTAATGGACAGATTTGGCCTGTATTTTTATTGAACTATCAAAATTGACGGTTAACTATTTTTTCTGTTTGTGACTCAACATCCTAGCTGAGATGGTGTCCATGTCACATATTGATTAAAACAAAAATAAAAAAGAAATTAAATAAAGAACATACTGAAAACCATTCCTTATTTCCCAAACCATAAGCTCATTTTGCTTGCGTTAGAGGCTCTTCAAAATCCATCCCCCGAAACAAGGACTCATCTTGACCCTAACTTGAGTTCATTTCTCAAAGCCTTGTATCAAACAAAAAGATCCAAAACTAATTTGGACTCAGATGAGTGTATTTACTACGACCATGGCAGAGAAGCTTCATCAGTCGATGAATACGATTTAGCAACGGAGAAAGAAGATCGAGAAATAGATCTCTTCGGACATTCCAGTGAGAAATTCATCTGAGATAGAGGTTAAGGATATGAGGATGACATGCGACACTGCAAGTTTGGTTTGACCATAGTTGTCGCTACTGCTAGATCCGAATTTTCCTCCTATTGATTTGTTGTTGTTTACACCAAAATTAAACTTGTACCACATCAATTAAATACAAGGGATTAATAATGTCAACTTAATTATAACAATTAAAATTAATTAAGATGGGTCACATTGATAGAATTTTTGGGCCCATAGCACGCAATGCCATCACCCTTGCGCCACCTTAAGCCATCCATTCCCAAATTTGAGTAAGTGTTGGGGGGGTAGTCAGCATACCCCCTAGTGTGATGAGATGGGGTAAAATTTCGCCAAATATGGAGAATGATGGCAAGGTGAAATATGACTGAATTTGGCTAAGTGTTGGAGCACCTCTTGTAGTGTGAATGGGGGGTAATCAACATATACCCTCCAGCGTGATGAGGTGAGGTAAACTTTGGCTAAAGTGTAGGAGCACGCCTCATGATGTGAATGAGTGGGGGGGGGGGGGGGAGGTTAATCAGCATACCCACTAGTGTAGTAACGTGGGGGGTAAAATTTGGCTAAGCATGGAGAGTGCGACGATAAGGCCCTAATGCGACTAATACCCCCATGATGTGATTAGGGGATAATCAGCATATCCCCTGGTGCGATACTGTGCGGGTGACATTAGGCTAAGTATAGAGAATGATAGTGTAGTGGAGCACCCCTCCTGATGTGATTAGTGGGCAATCAGCATGCCCCCTAGTGTGATGAGGTATGGTGGAAATTGGTTAAGTATGTAAGATAGGAGGGTCATAATGTGTAACTCAAATACCTTCTTAGTCCTTAGGGAGTTGAGGAGGAGGAGGATTGCCATACCCCTAGGTTGACTAAGGGGTAACATAAAGTGGCAAGAGAATAACCACTGCCACTCTCATGGTGATAAGTGGTGAATTATTTTTACCAGTTTGACCCATGTGATTTGAATACCCACCCACATGTGACAAGGGGTGTCTTCATGATTTAACCTTTTTCTCATTCGAAAACCCAAGCTAAGGAGGTGCTAACATTAGGAGGGGGTCAGACTAAAGAGGGTGGCACATCCAATGTTAGGTAGGTTGAAAGGGTAACTGTCACTCCATGTCAGCTGAGCAGTTTCCCAAGGCAGTTACTTCTAATGGCTTTAAATAGGAGGGAAGATGACAGATCAATGGTTCGCCATATTCACACTAGACAACCCAATGTCAAATTTTATCTTTCTATCCTTTTCTCTGCAAATTTAACTATAATTGTAGGTCTGGAGCTCTTGCACGAGCTCCATAGGAGTAGAGTTAATTTAATGTAGTTTTATCTCTTAGATTATAAAAAATATCAAACACTCTTGTTTGAACTTTGTTTAAAGAGGTGTGAACTGTGTTTGTTTAATCGTTTTCTTAGAAGTCAAAGGTGCATTCAATTTCATCTCAAAACGAGTTTTCTCGCTGTAAAATAAGGGTCCAAACCCGACAAAATCATAGAAGAGCCCAAAAATTGATGACAGTAGGCTCTAGAACACGAGTTATCTCTGAGAAACCCTAAAGGAAACCTACTTTCCAAACCTAGAAGTACACCATATCCATTTCCAAATGACACAACTTTGGGGGGGGGGGGGGGGGGGGGGGGGGGGGGGTGGTTTGTTATGCCTCTAGAGCAACACTAGAGCTAAGAATTCGTCCAAAGTTTCATATTAGAAAATGGCGGTCTAACTTATGGCCAGAGACGCTCAAACAAAGAAAGGAAAACTTTTTCCAGAAGTTAGGTTTCTATAATCCCAATTCACTCCCTCTGTGTTTTCCTTCAAATACGAGTATGATGTTTGATTTTAGCGGATGTCAAGCATGCTATACGCCTAAATTCACACCACCGTACAACCGTCGAGTTTTATAATCTAGCATGGACCAGGAAACCAGATCGTACCAAACAGTTCAATTGAAAAAACCGGAAACCGGACCAAGAACGATACAGTAGGCTGGTTGGCTCCAGAATATTGTGCCAGCCGATTTTTTCGGCTCAATCGTTACAAAAGAAAATACCACCAGGCTTTGGTCTAACCGGCGGTAGGCTCGCTGGAAGGAAAACATCACCGTTTTGACACTAACAATTAAAAAAAAAACAAATTGGCCAAAGGCCAAAAACGCAAAAATCCTAATCTGGCCATCTGAGAGCCCTTTCCTTTCATAGTTTCCTTTCCCCAGCCCCATCCGCCTCTCCTCCTCTTCTCCTCGGGCAACTGCGAGTGGCGACCCGAGACGCGCGACCGGAGAAAGCAAATAGGAAACCCGCGACCGCCGCTCCCTACTCCGCTCCATGGAGATTGGCGACTAGAGATTGGCACCGATCCCTGATCCGCTCCGTCGCTCCTCTTCAGCCGCGCTGCCTGCTCGAGTCTCCCTCCCCTGTTGCTCAAGAAGACAAGAACACGTTGACCCTGCTCAAGAACGCGAGTTCAAGCCTTCAAGGTAAGTCGAATCTCCCACTCACCCTCCCTTGTTTCATGCTTTTGACTGATTTTAGTATATGGTTAAGTTTTGATTTACAACGTTAGGTGAAAAATAGATAGTATTTGGAGACTATATTGTATAATAATTTTTGTCCTCTATTTTGATTGAAATTTTGGATGTTTTGGCAGCAATGGCCAGTGGAGAAGATCGGAAGCCCGATCGGTTGATCAAGGAGCACCCTCTAGTAACCCTAAGGTTGCAGCAAAGAGTGTACTTTGAACGATTATGTTGTTTGGTTGCTTGGTTTGAGAATGTTGTTTGAACTAGTGGTTTGAGAATGTTATTTAGTTGTTTTGTCCTCGATCCTAAACATGCATTTGAACGATTATGTAGTTTATTTAGTAATGTTGCACTTTGTTGATTGTTATATTACTTATGCCTATTTATTTTATTCAGATTTTTATCCAGTATATTCTGGTATTACTCTGAAACGATATCATAAATATGACGGTACGGTTTTTTAACAAAAAATATGTTTTTATTAAGAAAATTGTATTTTACCGCTACATAACGGTTGAACCACGGTCATACCACAAAATACCCTACCACAGACTGGTCCGGTATGATTTCCGGTACGGTTTCCTTTACCATGTTATCTAGACCACAAATTAACCAGAGTTTGGCAATGATACTATACCCTAGGCTCTAATAGGTGAACCCCAATCCCTAATTCTGTAATCCATACCATACCATAAATTTAATTCAATCTAAAATTTAATAGTCGATGGTGCTGGTTCATCAAAATATATCTAAGTAAATTTAAAAAATGTGAACGCAAGTGTATAGCGTACACTAGCCTTTGCCATATACATTATATACATATTAGCGTACGCCAGGCGCACACTTATTACGTATGCTCGTTGAGTTTTGTTATTTAGACCATGAATTAATAGGAGTTTGAGGCATGATACTATACCCTTACGCCTAACCTCTAATTTACATCACCACAACTAACTAAGATGGAACTCCTGCATGATGGTGAAGGTGGACAGATGCTTACTACTCCGGGCTTCTTCATGGGACTCCTATGCAACTCAACGCCCAAAAGGGGAATCACTCAAATCCGCCATGTAAATACCAACAACTAACTAAGATTGCACAATGAATTATGGAGGGCATGTTCTAGAATTAAGACGTGGTCAATATTTTTAAGTACAATAAAATAAAAATCATCGTAGCATCGTTATTTAGAACTTTATAAATATGTATGTTTTTTCGAAGGTTATGAAATTCATATCCCAATTTACCAATATAAAAATTATTTTCCGATAGATAGGAATAATATTATAACCACAACTAAGCATAGTGAGTAATTCAACATGAAATTGACAGAACTCGAACTCATCGCGTAGGAAATTACGATACTATAGTAGTATCATTAGCTAGATTGAAAGTCCCCACTAGGAAATTAAATGAACTCCCAAAAACTAATTCATAAAATATGGGGGACAAAATGCAAGAGGATGGTAATGCATTCTATGATGCTTGGGCTCGATACCAAGAGTTAATCCCATCTGGCCCACATTATGGGGTTTTCTTAGAGCAATAGGCTCACCAGTTCCAAAAAAGTTTTGACACTTCAAGTTAGGGGTGGGCATTCGGTCGGTTCGGTTTCGACCGAACCGAAATTATGAATATCGGGTCCCCAAATTATCTCAAACCTCAAACCGAATTCGAACCGAAATATAATTTGGTTCGGTCGGTTTAAACCGAATTATAATTCGGTTCGGTTTGGTTCGGTTTTTCACCCAAAACCGAATTTGTGAAGCTACTTGTATTTTATCACTTTTAAATTATTTTTCACCCCTAATATAAACAATAAATATCAATTATATGCATCATCAATGATAAAATCAAATTTTTCAACACATAAGTCATAAAACATTTCAAATATTTAAGTCTAAAAACAACTACAAACATAAAAATCCACCATTTGGAGCTTGCAATTATAGTATTTCGGTTTTTCGGTCGGAAATTCAAAAATTCGGTTCGGTTGAAAGAACCCTGGTTTCCGAACTATCCATATTTTCCTTCCGAATTCCGAACCGAATAGCATTAATTCGATTTTGGTTCGGTTTAATTCGGTTTCGGTTCGGTTTGGTTTTACCGAACCGTTTGCCCACCCCTACTTCAAGTCTTCAACGACTTTTTTTTTACCAATTCAAAAGTGGAAATGTCACTCAACTCACTACTACAATCACAATGGAGGAATATGCTTCATGGTTAGTAGGACTAGATGGTCAGAGGTCAAAGTAGCTTCTAAACAAGTCAATCCTTTCAAGCACATATAGATCTCAATGTCACACACTCACACTGTTGAACAAACAAGAGGGGTGGCTAAGCAATTAACATCCCTCTAAACTCAATTGGCATCGCAACGCAGGCTTTCACAAAACCTGAAAACAATGAAAGTTGGTCTAGTGTGGAAACCTATGCTCTAAATGAACAACCCATTTGCAAGAAAAGATAAGAGAAAGAGGTCCTTCCGCACGAGATTCTAGCACTCCAATTTCATACTCAAATCATCGATAAGATATTAGAGGGGGTCTCAAGAAGGACATAGAGAAAATGAAAAATGCATTAAGCGAACAAGGTGACCATGATGAGCTCATGACAAATGAGTTTCAAAACATTTGGAGCACCATGTACAAAATACTCAAGCAATTAGACTCCCTTAAGAGCCAATTCCAAGAGTTACATGATAAAGCCAATGGGCTAGTTGATGAAATTCACTTAGAGCCAATTCCAAGAGTTACATGATAAAGCCAATGGGCTAGTTGATGAAATTCACTTGAAGATATCACTATGAGAATTGAGAAGTGAAAATGAGACACTACCAACTCCCTCAAGGGATAAACCAGTCAAGAGAAGCCAAAAATTCCATAAGAGGCTTGTGGCTCCATGCTGGTCAATAAAAGCATGTTGGAAGAAGAGCTGCCTAACAATCTCAATTCAATGAATTATAGACCCATAACTCCTTATCTCGTTAGGCTCAATAGATATAAAGCACAACAAGATGCTGCTTTTCAAAAAATCCTGACGAAGCTTGGAAAATTTTACGACACTTGAATATTTTCTAGCTACATTTTAGTATAAAATAATTCATAATCGACTCATTCTGGGTTGAGTTTTTAATATAAATGCAATAAAAGGTCCAACAAACGCTTTCTAGGAGAGGAAGACCTCGTCGAGAGAGAATCATCTAAAAAACTAACAGTCGAATGGCTAATCGACAACGATGGTAGTACACAATGAAGGAGGACTATCTCGGTGGTGGGGTCTGGGGATGGACGGCTTTGGTAATGCCGCCAAATGCTTTCACAACTAATTGAGGTGGGAATAAGCTCAGTTATAGTGTGCGTGTCCCATTTAAGCTTACTAGCGTGGGCCCGGCCAGTTGGCCGGAGGAAGGTGAGGTATGAAATTTGATAATGTAATGGGGTGTATAGTTTTTTTTTTTTTTAATAAGTATAGCTTATTGTTGTATAGTTTTTTTTTTGGAAAACTCGTGATAAAAATAGTGAATTTTAGCAGGAAAGAGACATGAATGATGCAATGAATCAAAAATTGGTCTTATGAACCAAAATCAAGTACATGTTACCTTGTGAAACAATATTGTTTCTGGTAATATGATGAGGTGGAGTAAGTTTTATAGAAACCGAATTCCCGAAAAATTGAATAAAAAATCGCCTATCCCGTCGGTTTTCGGGAAATGAGCATCTCACAATCGTTGCTAGCTTTTACTCGGCCCGTTGATCGATTAATTTGCTTTATAAAACTTTCATCTTATCGTCATTGTGTTTTCTGATTTTTGTTAGGCCATGATAAAATCTAAGAAAATCAGGAACGAACAACACGATTTGGGATAGGAACCGCCGTTGTCGTATCCCTAGAAAATGGTGGTAAACACAGACTCACCTGCCAAACTGGTTTAGATTGAGATTTTTATCGGGTATCAGGGAACCATGTGATTATAAATTAGACTTTATCAAAACGAACCAAAAATTGAAATTCAGCATGTTTGACTGACCCATGCCAAATTCTAATTATTCTTTATTTTTAAATTTTCTATTTGAAAATAAAAAATAGTGAAAGAAAAAAGATGACTGCAATTCGCCATTTGCACATCACTTATTCGGGGATTAAACCATAAAGATTCAAAAGGAACTGAAAATGTTTAGGATCGTTTTAATGTTTAGGGTGTGCCTACGGTGACATGCATGTCACGTTGACTTGCACTTTCCGGTCGACCTCAGTTAGGATTAGGTCGACCTCATTTAGAATTCGGTCGACCTAATATAGGATCTGGTCGACCTCATTTAGGATTCGGTCGACCTCATATAGGATCTGGTCGACCTCATTTAGGATTCGGTCGACCTCATATAGGATCAGGTCGACCTAATTTGTTGCCTTAATTAGTTTTCTTTTGCGCCTTTGAATTAATTTGGGATGTCAACGTCCAATTCCCGTCAAAATAAGCAATAAACTCACCAAAGGCGCGCTGCGTACCACAATTCTACTTCTATGAATAGTAGATTTGAAAATATTTTTATAAATACCTAGGGATAGCAATGGGTCGGGTCGGGGACGGATAGTGCATATCTGTTACCCTATCCAAAGTAGTTCGGGTTTTACCCTATCCAAAGTAGTTCGGGTTTTACCCAAACCATTACCCACATAAGAAACGGGTAGAAATCCAAACCATGCCCATACTAGTTCGGGTTTCGGGTATCCACGTTTATCCATGGGTAATAGTTTCTCTTTATAACTCTAACCAATATGTTAATATTCACACGCACATTATGTAAGACAAAAATTACGACAAAAATTCACTAGAATGAAAAAAGTTAATTAAAACAAACACAATTTCATAAAAATATTATATTTATATGTTAAATATACAATATATTAGAGAAAATATTGATTATTTTTAGACAAAATACATATGCATGTGTATAATCTGCGTGTTTGGGTTGGATAGTGAGAAAACCATGCCTACCCATTATCCGTAATATTCGGGTTCGGGTTTTACTCGTACCCACTAAAAGTCCTTCGAGTTCGGTTTTTACCCTACCCAACTAGGAAGAATTCAGACGGATACCCACGATTACAGATATTTTTGCCATCCCTACCGTGTCTTCGACCATATTTTGAAAAAATTCGTTGTTTTTAGGAAAAAACCCTAAACACCCTATTCCTACGAAAAAGAAAAAGCAAAAAAGAATTTCGGGCACAGGACACATCTAGCCTATGATGGGCAGCAGCGGCCAGCGGCCATTCGTCAACTGAGTTTGATATATTCTCTTCTCCCACTTACGAGTTGGTCACTGCCGATTACAGTCGGCGGCGCCATTTTTTCCATTCTCCAATTGGTTTGCTTCCCGTTTCGTTCCAAACAAAGGTAAGTTGCCTGCTCATCCTTCATCTCAGCTTCATAGCTGAAACAATTGCCTATCTTTTCTCTGTTTGCCTTTATCTCAGTTATCGTACGGTCGCCACTTTCACCGATGCGTTATTCTGCTAGTTTGCGTTTCCACTTTTATGGATGCTGGCACTAATTAGAAAACTGATAGACCTCGACTGGGGGCTTAATATCCGGAGAATTTCTTGAACCCTAGATTTAGGGTTTAGGGTTTTTGCTTCCCCCACACCTTCTGTTCTGATAAAGATCCAAGATTCTATTTTGCCTCGTCGAATGAAGTGATCGTTTTGATAATGGAATGTTGTCCCTATTACTTTGATTGTAGATTTTCATTTTTGGTTTTGTTCCCAGCTCCTCGTGAGAATTCGCTGTAGGACGATGGATGTGTGCCTCACTATTTGTATCTGTATATAGTTGCTCTACTAATGAATGTTCACCTAAGCTGTGTGCAACCTGACCAGTTTATTGCCGTGTTACAGGGAAAGCAAAGATGAGCAAGAAGAAAAATCCTTCCGTGTTTTTGGATTTATCTATCGACCGGGATCCGGCGGAACGAATTGTTATTGAGGTAATCTACAAGGAAGTATTTTGACTCCATTTGCTCACTGGTTCATTTTGTAACAATGGAGTTCGAGTGAGTAATAACACTCTGTTCCCTCCAAATGCAGCTTTTTGCTGATGTTGTTCCCAAGACCGCAGAAAATTTCCGGGCGCTGTGCACTGGTATGTTGAATTTTCACTGTTCTTCACAAACTGCAGTTAGCTGCACTGTCACAAGCACTGCCCTTATATGGTTGCTGTTAACTTGCCTTCTGTTTGTTCATTTCCATTAACTGTTTATTGTGATTGCCACGGTCTGTTGCCATGAATTGTTATAGGACTGTCTTCTTAATTTTTTATATTTATCTTTTATGGCATGCTGAACTGATGAAATACTTTTCTTGTTGAGGTGTGCTTCAGCATATGTGAAGCACTGGTATCTATATTTAGCAATTACAATGCATATCTGATGCATTTCTTTTATTGTCAATTGCAGGGGAGAAGGGGATTGGGGATAGTACTGGGAAACCTCTGCACTACAAAGGATCCTCTTTCCATCGAGTAATTAAAGGATTCATGGCTCAGGTATGCAGTTTTCCCTTTTACTTATACATCCATGCCATATGATACTAATTGTTTGGTTACTATTTGCAGAAAAGTTTGGTTTAAATCCCGGTGTTTGAGGGAACTTTCTATTGTCTTAAGATTAGAAATTTGAAAATTTGCATGGGGGCATTGTACTCATCTTAGCCTTACCTCAATAATCATCTCCAGTATTTTACTAACCATTTGATGTTAACCTGTGACCATTTTGTATCTTTTCAAATATACTTGCATATGGTTCACTATAGGACATATTTTTTTGGTTACTATTTCCTGATAATTCTTTTTGGTTATTCCTTTGCTGACAGGGTGGTGACTTCTCAAAGGGAAACGGTAAGCATTTTGTTTTTCTCTCTCAATAGTGTTTCAGTAAAGAATGGTATCCAAAGGCTGCACTTCAATGGGCTGACTCTGTTTGCCTGACAGGTACTGGTGGAGAGAGTATCTATGGAGGGAAATTTTCAGGTTAATCTTCTTTCTCATGATTTTTTTTGTTACGTAATGGTCAGTCTCTTTGCTCTTATTAACAGGATCATTTTTCTGCTGCAGATGAGAACTTTAAATTGAGGCATGAAGGACCGGGCATCCTTTCTATGGCAAATAGTGGTCCGAACACGAATGGATCTCAATTTTTCATTACTTTTAAGAGTCAGCCTCACCTTGATGGGTACAAGATCCTCATTTAGTTCCGATCATTTAACCGTTGGCAATATTTGTTGCTAAGTAGCACTGGAGTTTTCTGGATTCTCACATTTTACATATATGCAGGAAACATGTTGTTTTTGGGAAGGTTGTTAAGGGACTTGATATACTAAAGAAAATTGAACTGGTAGGAACAGCTAAAGGGGATCCTCTTCAACCTGTAAGAGTTGTGGACTGTGGGGAAACTTCTGATGCTAAACTTCATACTGTGGGAAAGGATTCAGGTATCCTTATGGTTGTTCAATTTACAAACAAATGGAGTACATGCAATCCAATTATTTCGTTTAGAACTTACCTTATGAAGTACAATGTGACTTGTGCAGGAACCAAAAAGAAATCTGGAAAATTTGCTTCAGATGATAGCTCTGATGAAAAGGTTAAAGGAGGACGTAAAAAAATACTGAAGGATAGAAGGAAGAGAAGAAGAAAAAGATACTCTTCATCTGATTCATACAGCTCAGATTCTGAGTCAGAATCTTATTCTTCAGATTCTGAAACTTCAGACTCAGATTCTTCATCATTTGATTCAAGTTCTAGTGATGGGAGACACAAGAAGAGGAAGTCCTTGAAAAGAGATAAACGCCAAGGCAAGAGGAAAAAGAGGGACAAGAAAAGGGAGAAGAAGAGGAGTAGGCGTGATAAGAGATCCAGGCGCAAGTCTAAACGGTTTGATTTTGTATTTACTGTAACAGCAACCTCTAGGCCTTTATTTCTTGTCCATTTTGATAATTGTTTTGTTTTCAGGAGTTCGGACAGTGCAAGTGATTCTGAAACTGAAAGTAGCAGAAGCAGTAGTTCTGAAGACAATGAAACTGATCGTGTTCTCTCTCGTAAAAGCAACAATTCTACTATGGCTGAAAAGTCGATGCTTAATCTTGGTATGCCATCTCCTATGCAATCATCATGTGCCATTCATATATGTCCTGTCTTCACATGGACATGGCGGTACTTCATGCAATTTTCATTTACTTTGCCCGCCTTGTATATTTGGCTAAAAGGTTACTATGGTACAGATGAGATGAAAAAGTCCGGTGGTCAACAATCTGAGAAAGCTGCAGTACACAAAGGGAATGGCCAACAGAAGTCAATGACTGAAGTGAATTCTCCACATGAAGAAGGAGAATTGCCTCTGAAGCGGGACAAGCTTTTGAAGAATGGGCATGATATAGATTCTAAAGCTGATAAAAATGATATTCGCCACACTTCTTCTCACGACTCCGATAGATCCAAGTGTGTAATCATCATTTAATTTTTTCCTTGTGTTGGCTCATGTCTCTGCCTTGTGATTTTAGAGCTCATGTGAGTCTCCTCTTGATGGTTGTATACACAGGAATGTCATGCCAAGCCCTAGAAAGAGACCAAACAACAGCCGGAGGCGCATCTCGAGCCAAAGTCCTGAAAAAGCTTCCCGGAGTCCAAAATTGAGAAGTGATGATGGGAGTCCTGTTAGAAGGTCTGTTGAAAGAGAGCAGAGGATTTCAAGGAGTCCTGTGCACAGTCCTACTCGTAGGGCTCTGGGACCTCTTACCTCTAACCGAGGGCGGGGTGCTGAGTCACGAAGCCCATCTCCGAATGGTGTCCCCAAGCGCATTAGGAAAGGACGTGGCTTCACCCAACAGTATTCCTTTGCTCGTCGATACCGCACCCCTTCTCCAGAGGGTCCTCGGAGGTCTTTCTATTATGGGGGAAGAAATGTCAATGAAAGGAACAATGACAGGTATACATATCTTGATCGGGTGCATTGTTTTAACTTCATTACAAATCCTATTTGGGTTCGAATTGTTTTTCCCTCCATCTTATGCTTTTTTACCTATTCCCTGTACAGGTACTCAAGCTATCAAAATTATTCGGGACGTTCACAGTATGGACGGTACAGAAGCCCAGCAAGAGGCAGAAGTCCCCCTAGGTGCTGTTTCTGGTTCCACTCTATATTTAGTCCATGTTCCTAAATCATGAACGATGAAATAGGGTTATGTGTAGATACCCTTTGAAAATAACTTAAAAAGAGTTGGCTTGAAAGCAAGTTAAAATGAACATGTTCAATCGGACTCTTAAAACAAATTTTTTTTTAATAATGCCACAAATTTAATACGGATAATAGTAATTTCTGAATGTCTTATTGATAAACAATTTACAAAGCATCACTCATCAATTGCTTTTCTTTCTGAAAAATATTTTATATCATCTATCAACCTTTGCTAAAATCCAACCATATACTGCAGATATGGACGTCGGAGAAGTAGAAGTAGGAGCAGATCTCGGAGCAGCCCAGGAAATAATCATGGAAGAAGGAACAGAGCTCGCAGCAGGAGCCAGAGCCCTCCTATACGAAGTCCCAGTCCAACAGACAAGCGGCCTCCTGTTAGTGAGGGTTTGAGATCACGTCTTGGCCCTCGAATTGATGATGACAATTCAGGTAAGAAAGGAAGACTGAGGTCAACATCCAGGTCTACTGCTAGCTCCAGGTCAAGGAGCAGGTCATCATCTCCTCTCTCGAAATCTCCAGATCGTGCACCACCAAAACGAGGTAGAACAGCTAGTAGCAGGTCGAGATCAAGCTCATTGTCAGGAGGACAGCAAGGTCTGGTTTCTTATGGGGATCCTAGTCCTGATAAGTAAGAAACTGCTGCCCAATCCTGGATATGGTAGCTGAATGCTGAGCACAGGAAGAGTAAGCCTGTCTCCTGGGTGTCTTGTCATACTCATACCTTACACCGATGAACTGCCAAGAGTAGTCAGCAAGGCTGGCACTGCTGTAATGAGTACCAATGGTAGATGGAAACTGGAAACATGATGGTTGTTATGGGTTTCTCCGGCCTTCTGTGACCCCTTGGTTTTGTGGGTAGATTAAAATCCTCTTTCTTGGGAGATAAAAGACCAAATTAAGCTCTTATGAAGCGGCTATGTAGAATTGCGAAATCGAAGCTGAGTGCTCGTTTCTTGGAAGCCCATGTTAACGGCATGTAATAATAAACTTTCGACATGTAGAAGGCAGTTGTAGCTTGTTCAGGATAATGCTTTTTTTAGATTGGTGTGTTTAAAACTTGATTGATTTGGTTTTTGCTGGTAAACAATGTTCTAGTTTTGCTTCAACAGTGTAATGCGCAATTTAAACTCTGGGATTTTGGGAACTCTACTCTGTCAACTTGGTGGTCATGTTTTACATCATGCTACCATCACAAATGGGAGAAAATGACCGTTTCGAAAGAACACGGTCCTGCTTATTGCGCAATAGGTAATCAGAAATGAGTTCGGCCGACCTCTAGCCTTCCAACGCATTAATAAGCATACATCAGGTGCCAAATTCTCCACATTCCGAAAGAAAAGCTACAATCTACATATAACAGTGGTCTCAGTTTCGCTTCAGTTTCTCCTTCATTCTCTCCACAGCGCTCAGCAACGTTCCCTCATCTTTGCAGAAGGTGAACCTCACCAAGTTCTTCCCATCTTCTGGATTCAAGTAGAAAACGCTCGTCGGAATTGCCACCACACCAACTTCTTTAATCAAATACTCACAAAATGCAATATCGTTTTCAAGGCCAAAAGGGGTATGATCGACCACCACAAAGTAGGTCCCGCTCGATGGGAATACTTTGAAGCCAACATCCTTCAACCCTTTAACCAGAATCTCCTTCTTTGTCGAGTAGTCCCTTCTCAGCTCCTCGTAGTAAGAATCTGGGGCTCGAAGTGCTACAGCAGCTGCCGACTGCATTGGAGTAGATGTAGCAAAAGTGAGGTAAGAATGTGCCTGTCTCACTCCCCACGTTAAGTGAGGGGGAGCTATGGCCCACCCGATCTTCCACCCGGTTAATGAGAAGGTCTTCCCTAAAGAGTTCAAGGTCACTGTTCTCTCGTACATCCCAGGAAGTGATGCCATAGAGATGTGATCGGCTTCAAAGGCCAACTTATCATAGACCTCGTCAGAAAAAACCAGCACATCATTCTCAATGCAGAGTGATGCAATAGTGTCCAGTTCTTCCCTAGTAAACATCTTGCCAGTTGGATTATGTGGAGTGTTGATAAGAACTGCACGGGTATTCTTCGATATGGCAGATTTGAACTCATCCAGTGGAACAGCAAAATCTGGGGGGCGCAGAGTTATGGATTTGACTTGGGCACCTGCCATTGATAGTGTAGCCTCATAGGAGTCGTAGAAAGGAGCAAAGACAATCACTTCATCACCAGGATTTATCAAGCCCAACATTGTTGCTGCTATGGCTTCTGTGCAGCCTGAGGTGACGGTAATCTCTTTGTCGGGGTCCACTACAAGACCAGTGTCCTTCTTGAATCGCTCAGCAATGGCAGCATTGCAATCCGGGACCCCGAACCCACGAGCATATTGATTCTTCCCATCCTTTATGGCCTGAATAGCTGCCTCTTTAACAAAGTCGGGGCCATCAAAGTTCGGAAATCCTTGACCAAGGTTTATTGCTCCATGTTTAATAGCTAGCATGCTCATCTGAGTGAATATAGTAGTTTTGAACTTCTCTAAACGCTTTGCAACCTGGAAAAGAAATGTTGTGTCAAGTTACTTATCGATGTTACTACATGAACTCCAACAAAAGAGTTAAGTCTAATGCAGACCCATTTTGATAACAATAAAGAATCAGGAAGAAATGATTCCATTAGTCACTCTGCTGTCTTGCAGCTACATCCTACCGAGTAGCAACGAGCAAGTTCGTCATATAGCTTCACAAACATTATTCCCACTCTGTAAGCAACACATAAATTCAAGTAAACAAACACCAAAGTAGAAGCCAAAATGACGAATCTGAGCTCTCCAAAAGCAGCAAGCTAAAGAACTGCATGCTTAAGTAGGATGCAATTGAGCAGCAGCTACATAGAACTCATTTTCCTCCGATGGGACCATCCTCTTGGAACTTCTTAATTGGCACCAACAGAAAACAACGCCAACTTGCTTTTTGAACTTTTGAAAAACCCTACTTCTTAACCAACTAGTACTACAATAATGGGCATCACATCATATCGAGCACCATTCTCCATGCCTTCAATTCACAATGCCACCAAACATGAAAGATGCACTTTTTTTCACACTGATCAAGTAAGTCTTCCAATTCAGGACAAGAGAAGCAAATAGTACAACTAACCAGCCCCAAGAATACACAAGCTACTCCCTTTACGCCACCCTTTAAGCATGAGAAATCAAAACAGGACACCAGCCAATATCTGAGCCGATCGATCCATTGAACTCGCCGATCGCGATCGAGAACCAAAATCCCAGATACAAAACCGCATCAAACGGAATGAACCCGAAAAACAAAAACAAGGGTAACATGGAAAACCTGTAACGGGTGCTGGGTCTGCGAGGAATTTGGAGTGACAGCAGCAGTGGCATCTTTGTCGGGGTGGGGAACGGAGACGGTGGATAGAGCGGCCATGAGGGATGGGCGGCGGAAGATTGGTGCGGCGGAGGGAGTAAGGGAGCGCGTGGAATTGATAAACAACTGACGGAGAGGGAAGGTCCGGGGGAAAGGGGAGGAAGGGTTATTAAGGAGAAAGGAGAGGGGTCTAGACATAGTGGGAGGAGGAGAATGTGTCCAGGTACATTGACTCTCTAGCATCTGATTCCGGTCCTTGTTGGCTTTTCACCTTCTTCAGTGGTTGAAGCTGCCGACGACCAAGACTTGCGAATGCACGGCGGTCCACTCCCAGTTTCAAGCCAGATGGAGTTGGAATCGGGTTAATGAAACGTACAAAAAGGGGAGAGTAGGCAAGGAATGATTTTTTTTGGTAACTCAGTAACTCTCCTCTGCCAACTTCGCGCAAATGAGTTCATCCGGAAGACAGTTTTGATGTTTTCCTAACATTTCCGGCATATGGGTGAGTTTGTTGTGACTTATTAGTTCAAGAAATTCCGGTATTAAGGAGTAGAAGTGAAAGGCAAATATGTTTGGTAGTAAAATATTAGAAATTGTGATGGGTTGTAAAATATTTCCTAGCAATAAATATAGTATTGGGTTATGAACTTATGGTATATAACCTACAAAATCTGTATCTTACCACCTTTCATACGAATCATATAACCCTCTGATACCCGTATGATTCGTATCAGTGATGGTAAGACACAGAGTATTGTAGGTTTTGTGATTTTAAATTTTCGACATTATCATTTCCTATACATATTCATATGATGAAATGATAGAAGCCATTATAGTCGTAGTTTTCATATTAGATTTTAATTCAAATGGGCAAAGTTGGTGTTATGGGACAATCCAAGTACCACATTAGAAATATAAGGGAAGAAACCCTTGTATATTAGTGTCCACCTAGCCCAATTAGTACGAAGCTTTTTGGGGAGGGCACCCAAGAGTAAAACCGTGCGGGTTTGGCCCAAAGCGAACAATATCGTACTAATGGAGCGGCCTGATTTCGACAAGTGGTATCAGAATCTGGTTTGATGGACCCTCTTTTGGTAACCTCGGGATTTGAGATCTGCATTTGTCTGGCGGGTCAAAGGTGATTCGCGTATGTTTGGTGGATCCAGAAGAGATCCACGTTTGGGCTTGGCGGATCAAAGAGAGTTCCTTATTTGGGAAGTAGATCAAAGAGAGTTCTGCGTCGGGGAAAGTCCTTGTACCGAGAAGTCCATCGATACAAGTGGTCTGGCGGATCAAGATAATCGCTGACGAGAGGACACAAAGTTTATGGTCCTTGTCTTGAGGGGAGGATTGTTATGAGGACAATCCAAGTACCACGGCCTTTTGGGGAGGATACTCAAGAGTAAAACCGTGAGGGCTTGGCCTAAAGCGGACACTATCGTACTAATTGAGCAACCCGATTTTTGACAAGTGGTATCAGAGCCTGGTTCGGTGCGGGACGGTGGACGTCAGTTTGGTGGGACTCTCATTTGGTGACCTCGGGATTTGAGATCTTCGTTTGTCTAGTGCGTCAAAGGTGATTCGCGTTTGTTTGGTGGATCTAGGAGAAACATGTCAAAGAAAGTTCCGCACTTGGGAAACAGATCAAAGATAGTTCTATGTCTGGTAAACTCCTTATACCGAGAAGCCCATTGATACAAGGTGCCTGGCGGATCAAGATAATCGTTGAGTAGAGGACACGAAGTTGGTGGTCCTTGTCTTAAGGGGAGGATTGTTATGGGACAATCCAAGTACCACATTGAAAATATAAGGGAAGGAACCCTTGTATATTAGTGTCCACCTAGCCCAATTAGTACGAGGCCTTTTGGGGAGGACACCCAAGAGTAAAACCGCGCGGGCTTGGCCCAAAGCAGACAATATCGTACTGATATACCATTGATTGCACATGTTTTTAACCCTATTCTTGAGCCGTTTGAGATGTCGATTCTCGCGTTTTAGGCCGATTTCACGCTAGGTTGTTCTTGTTTGTGATATTTCAGGTCCTAGTACGTGAATGAAGGCTTGGGAACAAGTTCAGGGTCGATTGGACAAAGATTGAACATTTGGCGAGAAGCTGATGGAGCCACATGGGCACGCCTAAAAACCTACACAGCTGTGTGACCTGGCCGTGTGACATCAAATTGCACGTGCAAAATCACACGGGCCGTGTAGGGGACCCCTTGTGGCCGTGTGGAAATTCCAGGGAACTCACACGGGCAGCCTGGAAATCCACACGGCCGTGTGGTTGTGGCCGCGTAGGATGGCTGAAGTCCACTTATCGAAACGCCGCGTTTTGCACAACTCACACGAGCAGCTGGGAAGGTCACACGGCCGTGTGATCGGGAATTTCTGGATTTTAACCCAATTTCCAGCCAAAGGAGTGGGGGGTTCCCAGTTTTAGAGAGAAAAAGCGATACCTAGAGAGAGAAAGTGACGAACCTGACTCTGCAAGTGTCCTTGATCAATCTCCATCACCATTGGAGCGCGGCTTGAGCTTGGAGAAGACCTGATTGAGTGCCAGAAGCAGATTCCTATCCTTCACAGTATGGTTTCCGCATCTAAGCTAAATTTTCCATCTCTCTTTATGGAGTAACTTTCTTATTCACCTGGGTATGAAGAACCCTAGATTTGTATGTTAGGTCTGATTGTATGAACCCAAGTACAGATTCATTGATATGATTATGTTCAATTGAGGTTTGATTTGTTGAATGGCATGAATCCTGATCAAATTCTTGTTGTTTCTGCTTTAACCTAGAAAGAGAATATCTGCCTGGGTTGATAGAGCACCCTTGATTGAAGGTAGTGAATTGGCGACTTTAGTCGAGAAGCCAATTCACTATTCTTTACCGAATTTACTTCGGTAGTGGAGGTTTGGTTCGTTGGGGCCTCAATCTGTTTAATCCGGTGGAGGTTAGTTGCCCACTGGGGACTCAGATTGAGAGGGTCTGGAGACCTTTAGTCGAGACTTTAGACTGTTTAAGAACCTCCCACAGTGTAACTATCTTTGAACTTGAACTTGGTAAATTACAATCCGGCTTAACTGCAGTCTAGGGGGAACCATATCCGGGTGACCTCTCTCGACTTGAAAACAACCTTTTTACTTGCTTTGCTTGTTTTGACCTTCACTAAAGTTTCACTGCTAAATAATAAGAACTCACGGAGTAGTCATCACATCTAGGACCCGGGTTGACATTAAAACCCAAACCCGCTATACTACGCTTTAGGAGGTGGTTACATTTGGCCATTTTCTAGAGTGACGGTAGGAGCGAGTCAAGTTTTTGGCACCGTTGCCGGGGACGGCTAGGTTGTTGAAGAAACATGAATTTTGTTAATTTAGCTTTTCTTTCTCGCATTGTTTGCTTTGTCACACTTGTGCCTTCACGGGTTTGCTGCTTGACTATGTGCAGGTAGTGCATGACCCGTAGCCAGTCAGGAGGTTTACTGCCGTTGGATCCGGAGCTTGAACGCACCTGTCGCCAACTTAGGAGACAACAACGAGCTAGACTGGCTATGGAGGAGCGCATAGACGGCCACTTGAGCAGCGATTCCGAGGAAGAGTACGAGATGGAAGGAGACCATAACCCGCCACAGGGGATACCTCTCCAGGTTCCCCCAGTGAACCAGATCCTAGGGAACAACCCAATACCTCAGGACAATGGGGTTCATCATCAACCACCGCCGCCGGGTCCCACCTTGGAGTACTACTACACTCCACGGATTGCTGATATCTGCCCTATCATCCTCTACCCGCCCATTCCAGCAAACAACTTTGAGATCAAGCCATGCTGGATTCAACTTATTACATCCTCTATCCAGTTTCATGGCTTGAAGGATGAGGAGGCAAGGGTGCACCTTTCCCATTTCCTGTAGCTAACGAACGAGTTCAACCTAAACGGTGTCCCTGATGACGCAATCCGCCTTCACCTCTTCCCCCATTCTCTGTCGGGGCATTCTAAGAGGGGGTTGGAGACCCATCCCCCATTGTTCATCACTTCTTGGGACGATCTGGCCGACAAGTTCGTGCACATGTATTATTTAGCATCGAAGACCACAGAGATCCAGCAGGAGATCACTCACTTCCGCCAAGAGCCAGACGAGTCACTTCGTGATGCATGGGAGCGGTACTCGGGATATTTCTGGCAGTGCCCCCATCATGGTTTCAGTGATGCATTCACCGTTGGGAACTTCTATAGTGCTCTCTCTCCAAAAAGCCAGAGGGTGATTGAGTCTCTATGCCCAGGCGGGGATATTCTTACTAAGACTCCACCCGAACTGAACCAGATGATCAGTACCTTGGCTGCCAGAGATCATTCCTGGGGGCAGAGCACCAGAGGTAGGAATTCCCGGGATCGTGGTGTGCACGCCATGGAGGCCAGGTCGGGGCTCGAGCAGCAGGTGGCTGAGTTAGTGCAGACATTGAAGCAGCCCAACAGTCTTATTCTGGGCAGGGGTCTGGGCGGACCTCCAGTAGCTCAATGTCAGTGGTGTGAGAGCTCGAACCATCTGGTAGAAGACTTCCAGGCTATGCGGGAGTCTTCTACTCCCCAAGAGAAGTTGGACTTCATCGCCAATCTCGGATCGACGCCTTGACCCATACAGCAATACATACAATGAGGGGTGGCGCCAGCATCCCAACTTCTCTCGGAATAGAAACACCACTAAACCACCTGGTTTCCCAGCACCAGCAGGTGGTTATCAGTAGAGGCAGCCTTTCCAGGCTAGACATGGGCCAGTCCCTCAGCAGCAGCCTTACCAGCCTAGGCAGGGGCAACCGTTTCAGCAGCCTCACCTCAGTATGCCGAGCCAGCAGTAGCTCCGGCTCCAGATAATCAGATGATGGAGCTGAAATCATTCTAGCAACATTCATGACTACCAGCCAGGCGAATTTTACCAGCAGCAGCTCCGGCTCCAGATAATCAGATGACGGAGGTGAAAAACATTCTAGCGGCATTCATGACTACCAGCCAGGCGAATTTTACCAGGATAGACCAAAGCATCGCCTCGCTGGAGGTAGGTCAGAGGAACCAAGGTGCTATACTACAGGACCTCCAACATCAGCTTGGAGGAATAGCTCGTAAGAACAATACCCGGGCCCCGGAAATTCTACCTGCCACTACCATCCCCAATCCACGGGAGCCGCACCACCAGCTGCATGCCATCACCACCAGGAGTGGCAAGTCCACATCGGCGGTACCTGCCCAGGCTAGGGAGGAAGAGCCACTGCCTGCTTAAGCACTTCCAGCCGACGATGCAGAAGTGAGGGTGGACAAGGAAGCCCCCTGCTCCCAAGCCACAACCAGTGGTTAAAGAGCATGTACCCCAGCTTTCCTTCCCCACTCGACTACATAAAGATAAGCTGGAGACAGAGTTTGCCAAGTTCATGGCGATGTTGAAGCAGCTCAACGTCAGCATACCTTTCATGGAGGCACTGTCGAAGATGCCCAAGTATGCCAAGTTCATGAAGGATTTCCTCAGCAACAAGAAGAAACTTGGGGATCTTTCGACAGTGATGCTGAGCGAGGAGTGTTCTGCTATCCTGCAGAACAAGCTGCCCGAAAAGCGCAAGGACCCAGGGAGTTTCACTATCTCTCTTGATATTGGCAGCATGCATGTAGGGAAGTCCTTGGCGGACCTAGGCGCTAGCATAAATGTCATGCCGTACAATTTGTTTAAAAAGCTAGACCTAGGTGAACTTAGCCCTACTAGGATGAGCATTCAATTAGCTGATTTCTCTATTGTGCATCCTAGGGGTATCATAAAAGATCTGCTTGTTAAAGTAGGCGCATTCACATATCCTGTTGATTTTGTTATTCTGGATATAAATGAGGATGTGGATTTGCCTTTGATTCTGGGTAGACCATTTCTTGCCACCGCGAAGGCACTTATTGATGTGCATAGTGGTAAACTGACCTTGCGTGCTGGGAATGAACATGCTACTTTTTCGGTGGCTGAATGAGATCATTGTGATATGCCTGCTGTCACACCTATGCATGCTATTTCTCACAAGGTACACGAGCCTGTCGTGCACCACTCTGTGCCCCTTGTTTTGCAGGACTCCCCTCTCACGCCTTCGCCGCCACTCCCTTCAACCTCACCTCCAAATAAAAAGCTCAAAGAGGAGTGGCGGTCGAAGCAGCAGGTGGCTAAGTCTGCTCGGAAGAAAGGTGGAGACCACTATAAGCTGGTCCCACCTCCTGCACCACGACCACCCTGGCCATCCGAGTACTCACTCGTCTGCATCTTGCCGGATGGCCAGGTCGAGCTGACCAAGGCTGGTGGTCGCACCCGTCGGGTGCATGGCCGAAATCTGAAGCTTTATCTCAAGAGCGATGTGGATCCGCTCTTGGAGGCACCTGTTCTTGCACCCCTCTGAGTATCCACCATGAGCGTCCAGCTAAAAGACGGTAAAGAAACGCTTGTGGGGAGGCAACCCCACCATGGTTTGCATTTATTTCTTTTGTTTTGGGTCGGATTGCAAACTGGTTGGTTTTGGTTTGTTTCTTTTGTTTTGGATGATGTACTATTGGGTTGACCATTGGACCTAACGTATTGTGTATTTGTGTTTGAGTTCTTCTGTTCCCTTTAGCTGTGCTTTGTCCCTGAATGGTCCCCTCTCCAGTCCTCTTCACTCAGACTGGTCCGATTCCAGTCTCATGCAGTCCATGCACACCGGTAACGTCGTTCCCCTTATCCTTCCCTCTTCTCCATTGAGGGCAATGTCGAACTTAAGTGTGTGTGTGTGTGGGGGGGGGGGTGTTTCTCTTTTGACTGCATTAGATCTGTTTGTGTGCTTGTTTCCTTGCAAATTGCCTGCTCAGTATGCTTTGAATTGACAGTCTCTATAGTAATGTGCAACCTAGGGAGGTAGTGTAGCACTATGGAGGATGTTGAAGTATAAGATTTTTCCTATCTAGCTCTCTGTTGCGCCAGTTGATTTTGTGAATTAGTGGAGCTAGGACCGTTGAATTCATGTGATAATGGTGACTCTATTTGGATTGTGTTATGGACTCGTGTATCAAAAAGGGTGCTCATGTGAAAAATAAAATGCAGTTGGTCCTCCATGTCAAAATCATTAAATCTTAAACATGAGGTAAGCCCAACGTGTGCGGCACCGTTCATTGCACAAAATCGGGTTTTGGAAGAGATTTTAGTGATCCTTAGTGGGGTACTTCTACAAGGTGAAGCTAAGCTATCTCTAGTACAAGTAAAACTTCCACCCGTTGAACGGTTTGCCTACTTGAGGATGTGTTTTTAAGGGCACAGATAGAGCTTCCGACCCCCCTTAATTTCATTGACCCTCCACACGAGTTGAGGAAAAGGAGTTAAAAGAAGTACTCTGACGAGCGCCAGATGTACAGAAATTGCTCTTGCTCGACTAATAAGGGTCGACCGTGCAAAAGACTGCAGTTGGAACCCCCGCTAAGTGAATGCAAAAGAAAAAATAAAACAGTAAAATGAAAGTGAAAAAGGGGTTTCAATGGTGAAATGAAGTGAAAGAGCACCCCGGTACAACGAGTCCTTGGTTGTGAATGGTGTGAGTCCCTTTATCCATTAAATAACTGTCTTACTTCCACTTCTTCTCATGATCCTGGTTTGAGTCTAGTACTCGCATTGAGAGAGATAGGGAACGTCTTAGAAGACCATTTGACCTCGTAAGCTGCTATATGATCTAGGAAATCCTCTACCGACGATCGGGGTTTTTTGTTGCTATAGAGGTATGAAGACTTGCATTGGTTTGAGTTAGGTTTACTTGGGGACAAGCAAACGATTAAATGTGGGGGAATTTGATAGACCATTGATTGTGATATTTTAGGTCCTAGTATGTGAATGAAGGCTTGGGAACGAGTTCGGGGTCGATTGGACGAAGATTGGACATTTGGCGAGAAGCTGATGGAGCCACACAGGCACGCCTAAAAACCTACACGACCGTGTGACCTGGCCGTGTGACATCAAATTGCACGGGCAAAATCACACGGGCCATGTAGGTGACCCCTTGTGGCCGTGTGGAAATTCCAGGGAACTCACACGGGCAGCCTGGAAATCCACACGGCCGTGTGGTTGTGGCCGTGTAGGATGGTTGAAGTCCACTTATCGAAACGCCGCGTTTTGCACAACTCACACGGGCAGCTGGGAAAGTCACACGGCCGTGTGATCAGGAATTTTTGGGTTTTAACCCAATTTCCAGCCAAAGGAGTGGGGGGTTCCGAGTTTTAGAGAGAAAAAGCGATACCTAGAGAGAGAGAAAGTGACGAACCTGACTCTGCAAGTGTCCTTGATCGATCTCCATCACCATTGGAGCCCGACTTAAGCTTGGAGAACACCTGATTGAGTGCCAGAAGCAGATTCCCATCCTTCACAGTATGGTTTCCGCATCTGAGCTAGATTTTCCATCTCTCTCTATGGAGTAACTTTCTTATTCACCTGGGTATGAAGAACCCTAGATTTGTATGTTAGGTCTGATTGTATGAATCCAAGTACAGATTCATTGATATGATTATGTTCAATTGAGGTTTCATTTGTCGAATGGCATGAATCCTGATCAAATTCCTGTTGTTTTTGCTTTAACCTAGAAAGAGAATATCTGCCTAGGTTGATAGAGCACCCTTGATTGAAGGTAGTGAATTGGCGACTTTAGTCGAGAAGTCGATTCACTATTTTGTACCAAATTTACTTCGGTAGTGGAGGTTTGGTTCGTTAGGACCTCAATCTGTTTAATCCGGTGGAGGTTAGTCCCGCTGGAGACTCAGATTGAGATGGTATGGAGACCTTTAGTCGAGACTTCAGACTGTTTAAGAACCTCCCGCAGTATAAGTATCTTTGAACTTGAACTTGGGAAATTACAATCCGGCTTAACTGCATTCTAGGGGGAACCATATCCGGGTGACCTCTCTCGACTTGAAAACAACCTTTTTACTTGCTTTGCTTGTTTTGACCTTCACTAAAGTTTCAATGCTAAATAATAAGAACTCACGGAGTAGTCATCACATCTAGGACCCGGGTTGACATTAAAACCCAAACCCGCTATACTACGCTTTAGGAGGTGGTTACACTTGGCCATTTTCTAGAGTGACGGTAGGAGCGAGTCACGTACTAATGGAGCGACCCGATTTTGACAGTTGGAAATTAATTTATTTTAATGAGTAGGTTATTTTCTCAAAAAAGCACTCGTATTATCGAGAAAAAAATCAGATACAAGAGAGTCACATGGTTGAAAGCAACCAAGAATAAAAATCGAATCCTACTAAAGAAGTGTACAAAAAAATTCAATGCCACTAAATGATCTGTTACTACCATGGCCAGTAAACCGAACATCAAATATCACAAACTCACCATGAAGAGCCAAATCTCATCCAATACAGCAACCCCACGAGCGTTCACCGATTACCCTTCATATATGTTGTCAAACACCACCTTTGCATTACCTACAAAGACCACATATGTTATCCCCTAGTTAGACACCACTGAATCGCATCATAGAGAGCCTACAACTCAATAAAGAGCTAGTTAGAAATAATCTCATACAAAGTAGTTGCAGCTACCACCATCATGATCAAAAGATCATAAAAGAGGAAAATACCTGACACCCTGCTAGTCCCAACACCCCAGGAAACCGACTGGCCATGGCCATCAGAACTTCAACTCAAACATGGACTAATCATTATTATTATAATGATTATTGGGTTTGATTAAGGGTCCACAACTAATTAAAAATTAATTTTGTGCAAGTTATTGTAGAAGTCACCTCATTATTAAACCTACTTTTTCTTATTAGTTTTTTTCCAGAGATATTTCGGAACAAAATAGCAAGATAGGATTATAACAACATGATATTTTCAGGTCAATTAAGAAAAAAATAATGCGCTAGTCAACAAGGTGCCGAACCAACGACAAGAGAACCTTTTTTGACGCGATATGGACAATCCTATGTACCTACAAGACACAAAATGGAATGAGGCATGCTGGAGAGATGATCTCAACACATGAACTTCTCTCATAATGGCACCTCTCAAAGAGTGAGCCGAATTGTTCTCTTTAATCAGCCGGATGAACACCTGCGCATCACCACAAAAAAACATGTTGGTGAGAATGAGAAACACACCATAACATGGCATCTCTGATTGCCATTAATTCAATAAAAAGGCATCTAAAAAACTAACATAATAGCACCCAAAAAGAGAATTCAATACTGCGATTGCAAGAAAACCCAACAAAGCCTACAACACAAACTATATAAGCCTTGGAACCCCCATCAAATTGGACTAACAAAGAGTTTGAAGGAATAGTCGGTGGAGGGGAACCATGACTATTAGAATGGAAAGAATGGGAACACCCTTCACAAGTTGAAGAAGAGGTAGTTTCCTAAGTAGTATACCATTCCACCACCTGTGCATCTAATTGTCGAGAAAGAGCATGGGTAAGAAAGAGTATGTCATCTTATGTTGATGAACTACACCGCCCCTTTCAAATCCTCCAAAATAGGAAGATCAACCGTGTAATAACTTTCTTATTAGGAATCATAAAAAAATGAATCGCCAACCAATAGCAACATGCATAGACTACACTATGTCTAATATATAATCATATCCAACTAAGCTCTACAATGCTATACCAACTCTAAGATCCAAGAAACCATGTGAAAGAGTTTATGAAGGATTCAAACAAACTGGACAAGCTAATTCTTCTACATTTTCTTCATCAATAAGATCTTTATCCCGTAATACATTCTTAACCGAAAAGTAACCATGAATCAACCTCCACAAAAAGAAACTCAGGTGGAACATGAAGGGACCAAATAAATTTCCACGACTTAGAATAAAAAAATCGGAGGAATGGTGGTGTCATCACGAACAAAATCAAACAAAGCTATATGATAACTAAATTTGACAGAGTAGTTTCCAATGCTTGAATAATGCCATACAATTGTATCCCCCAGAAGATAAGAAGGGGGATACTAAGAATTACCTCAATGGTCGCAGAATCAAATAATGATTGTAGTAAAGTCAGCCTCCAAGCTCTTTCTGAGTGATCAATTAAGGAAGATACATGGGAGCATTGAAGCATAAAATTTGGTAGCAACCATGGTCGTGATGGTGGGGTAGTCGGTAACCAAATATCTCCAGTTATGTGAACCGAAAAGCCAGACCCAACATGCCACCGAAGGTTTTGTAGCAGGAGATTTCGACCATCAAGACGGTCAAGAACCAAGAACAGCCTGTATAATTGAACAATTAGGGAAATAACTACCTTGTACTGGACAAAAGCAAACTGTCTAGAGATTTAAGAGTGTACCAGCTCTGCTTAGAAAGAAGAGCTCTATTGTGACTATTAAAGTCACGGAAGCCAAGACCACCATGCATCGTTTGACAACATATTGAACACCAAGAGGCCCACTTCATACCTTCCAATCGCCCACCAAAACCTAGCCAAGTGGCCATTAAGCCTGTGACATAAAATAAGCGTCATTAGGAAACTAAGCATGGTATAAGTAGGCAAAGCATTTGTAATTGGTTTAGTCAACGTCCTTGGCAGCAAGGGAAAGAGATTTGGACTTTCATTGCTGAAGACAATAAACTAAGATGTCTTAAATGTATTGGAATGTTTCCTGCTTTGACATGGAAAATCAAGCCGGAAGTCCAAGGTAACGATTCGACAGACCACTAAATGTTACCCCTAGGAGAGATATGAAATCACTGGCATCGGTTTTCGTAACATATGCACTAAAAGATACGGTAGACTTTTGGAGATTGAATTCTGGCCCACTAACCTGCTGATAAGAAGCTAGAAGAGTAAGCAATTTTTGGCATTTCGGGATACTAGGATGCAGGAAAGATAGGAATCATCAGAAAAATAAAATGTAAAATCGCAGGGCATTGATGATGAATTTTCTTACCATGCAAGAAGTTGGCATGAACGACTTGGTGAATGAAGGTAGATAAACCTTCTGTATAGAGAGAAAAAAGAAGGGGAGAAATCGGGTCTCCTTGTTGTAAGCCACGTTCTAGGTGAAAGTAACCATGTAGAGAGCCATTGAGGACATCGTAGTTACACGAGCCTGCATCCAAATCATATATTGATCACAAAAACCCAGCTTAGACATAATAGCAAATAGAAAAAACACTCAACCTTATCACAAGCTTTCTCCATTTCTTGTTTTAGAGCCATCCATTTATCCTGACCTTGAATTTCACTTTCCGAAAATGCATAACTTACTGAATAATCAGAACATTATTAGAAATCAAACGACCTATGACAAATCCATTTTGGGACAGTCCCACAATCTTAGGAAAACTTCACGCAACCAAGAATAAGGATTTTTAGAAATGATCTTATAAGGCACTTGGAACATACTAATAGGTTACATTTGTCACATCGACTTTGCATTGGGAACCTTTGGAATCAAGGTTATCCACGTGTGGTTAAGAACTTAAAATTAGTTAAAAGGTTACTTAATTGGAAATTGTTTGTAACTGCAGCCACAACAGAATCACCTACAAGGCTACAAGACTACAAAAGGATTGAAAGAAGAAACGCGTAAAGCCATCCGAATCTGGAGCATGATACCTACCAATAGAGAAAACAACAGATCAAACTTCAGAATTGGTTATAAGAGACACCAAGATAGCATTCGTAGAGGGAGTTACGAGCCGTGCCAACTATAAATAATCTACAAAAGACCCCACCTGCAAGCATTTAGAAGTAAATAACTGTTGAAAATAACCACAACCACTACCCCTTTAGCAGACTCCTCATAATGAAGGATACCAATTTCATCTTGCAAAACAAGGATGCGATTTTTGTGCCGCCTAATCAAGGTCGTTAGATGAAAGCATCTCGTGTTTGAATCTCCTTCAGTAAGCCATTGTATTTGAGACTTCTGCTGCCAAAAGATTTCCTCTTGCAAAAAGGAATAAGAAAATTGAATTTTAAGGGATGCAATCTCACTCCAATCCACTAGGATCCTCTTAGAGAGTAGAATTCGCATCCTGCATTTCCCGAAATTCCGAGAAGAATTTAGATTTCCTTTAGAGGCCCTTGCAAAAAACTTGTGCCTTGCAGACTTGAGAACATCATGGAGCTGAATTTGGAATGTTTTCGTGCCTAAACGTCCCCACTAAGAATCTAGAATTCCTTCTGCTTCAAGGTTACCAATCCAACAACAATCAAAGTGAAAGTTGGCTTTGGCTCTTGGTGCAGATAGATGCAACTGTAGTAATAGTATTCTATGATCAGAACCTAATTCAAAGAGATGAATAAATTTCACACCTTCCCACAAGAAAAGAGCAGACGGGGAAGCGAAACATACATATTCAAGTCTCTCCATGATATGATCACTTGAAGAGCGTATATTCGACTAAGTGAAAGGCGACCCTTGATAGCAAAGATCCTTCAAGTTAAGGAGAGCAAGAAAATTATGCAACATAGATAAAGTTTGTAGAGTAGGGGATCGACCATCCACCTTCTCTAAAGAATATAAGAGGCAATTAAAATCATTGAAAACAAAAAAGGGAGAAACAACCTATAAGAGGGAAACATAAATTTCATTAAGTTAAGCGAGACGAAAACTCTCATTACAATCTAGATGGACAAAGACAAATAGCATAGGTCCATAAATAGGATGGATACAGTTCACAAACATAAAAGACTCTGACTGGTTCACTACTGTACAAGATACCTAGAGAGTCCAGCCCATCGCCATACCCCCCACAATATTGACCACAATGACTAAGACAGACTCAGAGAAACCTAATCGTCAAAGAAGATTCTTAACTTTATTATCATGACACTTAGTATCACAAAGGAAAACAAGCATATGAGACCTACTAAAGAAAACATATAACACCAAGGCTATACCCAATCCCTGACAATTCAACACGAAACACTCATATATGATTGTGGGACCATTAGGGGCCGGTGTCCTCCACAGAGACAACATGAGCATCAATAACAGTGAGAGTATCTTCAAAATCCGAACACAGAAGCTTAGGAGATTATTGGATCTCCCCTTATTCCAAAACAAGATGCTTGCAAGAAGGAATGACATGAGATGAGGCTCTAGTCGAAGAATAAGAAGGGTAAAGGGACAACCATTAAATTCCTTGAGGGTTCAGATCTCATTCACTTTTGGACCCAAATAAAATTCCTAGAAATGCTTTCCATATGGAAGTTTCTTACCAAGAAGCCATCGGCCTTAGAATAGAGAGAAGAAGAATGGCAAATCACACCACACCCAAAGCAAAATAGAGGCAACTTCTCAAAGTAAATCACACCTTTAACGAACCTTTACCACGATCTTCATGGGAAGCAGTGGCCGATTGAGGAAGAGGGGCCAACACATCAAGCACCTCATGAACCCAAACGTAAACTCCCCTAGTCTTATTGCCGACATGAATCACGGCTTCCATAAGCTTTTCCACAACAAATGCTGATTCGTAGTAAACATACAAGTGATAAAAATCCTAGATATGCTTAGGGTCGTGTTCCACAGGGTCTTTTAATAGTAACTACTCAAATCTAACCAATTGAATTAGAATGTGCAATGCAAGAATTTAAAACTAGGTCGATTTAGGTTCCCCTTACGCGAGATTCTAAACTACTATGCCAGAAAAGAAACAAACAAAGATGCAAGCAGTAAATATAATTTTTACGTCGTGTCTTATAGATGGTCATGCATACAATCTCCTGAATAAGATGCATATATGCATAATCTATTGTGATGCCCCATCCTTTCCTCTAAGGCTTATCTACAGTGTATGTGCCTCTTGCGATATAGATTTGACTAGCTAATGTGTTTTCACTTCATGTCATCACCTAATCAATGAAGAACAAGGAAGTTCAGGTAGAATATCATTAATTGTGGGCTTCTATGAAACATAACCATATTCTATAGCATCAATGATCTAGGAGTCAAGCATCATCACTAGTCATGCATAGAAGTGTAGCTAATCCTCCTATACAAGCTTAAGAAGGATGCCTACTACACGAGTTTAGTTTCTTTGTTTCCCATAATAATAGTATAAACAATGCATATAGTAGCAATCATAATAGACTCACACGCAAATAGACTCACACGCATAGATTAGTTAAAATATCATATGAAATAAAGCATCAATGATCATATACAAGAGATGATTAAAGCATCAGGAATAAAGCATCTAAAGGAATAGGCATAGAGAATCATAAGATAAAATGAGATAAGCATCTTATTAACTCATAGAAAGTAATACACAACCATCATAGAATCCACATCCCTTAACAGATCTACTAGCAACACAAAGAAGAGTGGAACATCATCAGCATAGAAATAAGCATCGATTTTGAATACTTATCCTTCGAATTTCAACAACAATTCTCCTCCTCTATGGATTACTACTCGTGCCCACTGGGGCAGAGTACTGGTAAAGGGGTTGTGTATTTCGGTAGGCTTATGTCTATACTTATACTAGTTACATAAGGGAGTTTGTAGCCCTTTTCCTCCTAAAGTCTGGCAAATCCTTCCCTATTCGCCTACAACTCAGTTTTTTTAGACTTAGGGGTGAAGTAGAGTCTTCAGGAAATTTTCTTGAGGCTTTAGGGTTAGCGGCGGTTGGGTAGGTTTGTTGGGCCGGCGCTGATTTTCTTCTTATATTGGGTAGTTTCTGTCACAAGTGACTCCTCCTCAAATTTGTAGAGCGGCAATTAGTTGGACAATCTATTATGGGTCTTGGTCATAAACTTAGCATTCGATATCAAAATCCATCTCTCTTTGAACCCATGAGTTTGTATTCTCCTCTTCTTTCTGATTGTTTAGGGCTTGTGATGATCCATATTCGTCTTGAGTGGTTTATAACCTTGAAAATCATAAAACAACAACATAAAGCCATCAAATAGTATAAGAACACACTAAAGGTCTATCATAAGCTCATTATTCAAGTTGTTATGAATTCCATATGAAATATAGTCAAAACCACTAAAGATGCATTGATAGAAGGGAAAAATCTATCAAATATGGGAGTGGTAAACACTATAAATAAATTGTCATAAGAAATACCTCACATTTGAACTTTTCTTGTCCCCAAGCAAACACTACTCATAATCATACAAATCAATAAACAATAAAAGCATCACTCAATTTCGATCTTAGGTAGTAGATCATATATAACTTAGAAGGTCAACAATAGCATGGGAGAATACTAATCACATCAACATCCAATAATATCATTCAATTTGATCCAAACATAAACAACTAACATGCATTAAGGTCTCAAAACACAATGGCGAATCCTTTGATAAATGTTTTTGAACTTTGAATGCTTATACCATCAACTTGACATACACTTTTGCCTTCACAACACAAACTCTTTATATCTTTTTCTATTTGTCTTCTCTTTCAACCTACTATCCCCCCCCCCCTCTTTTCTAGATTTTTCTCATGGTGGGTGGAGAGCCCTTTATAGCTTTACCCTTATTGGTTGAGCAAGTTTATTTTCCTCAACTCACGTGGAGGATCAATGAAATTAAGGAGAGAGCAAGTGCTTCAAATTTTGACATAGAAGGCTAATGTTACTAGTAGGGGCGGAGTCATGATTCGAAGTTTGGAGGGGCCGGCCGGAGTTATTTAGTATATTATTGCCAAAAATGCCAAAAAAAATTATAACGACATAATATTAATTCGAATAAGCACAACCAGTAAAAATAGAATTAATTTAAAGTTTCTAATATGTTGTGCTCAAAATAAAGGATTATACTATTAAAAATAATTATCATGCATTTTTTCAATATTATTATAAGTTGGATGTGAATGTAAGATTATATTAATGTTTGTAAAGATTAATTAATTGCATTCCGAAAATAATCCTTGGCAATATGAATGTGAAAGTGCGAGAACTTAACTGACTTTATTAAAAATTACAGGATTTGTAAAATTATGTAAGAAATCGAAAGGATTGAACTACCAAATAAATGTTAGAATAGTAAAATTGCTCCTTTTCATGAGCTAACCCAATACCATTGTGATGCTATTAGACACCATCTCTGCTAGACGACAAACTTGTTATCGTAACAATCATGCACTCACACTTTATATAGACTAAGCACTCAATTTATACGTAATTCTCCGAATTTTTTTAAGACTTTATAGGTAAGTTTCAAATTCCTCGGGGTCTAGCTCCACCCCTGCTTTTGATAGAATGAAATTTTCTTTTCATAAAAAAGACCCTAGAAACCCTAATCCTAAATGGAATGGGGATAAACCCAGGTATTTAAAATTAAGTACCATTGTCAATTAATTAATTAACTATAGAGAAGAAATATCATATGATATTTATTGGGATGAATGAAAAGGTCAGGTGGAGGAATCAGACATGGTTTTGGCAGTAAGAAGAAAAAAAAGTAGAAGTTGAGGAGGAAGAAGAAACAATGTTCATGATGAAGTCTACTCAAGTCGACAAAATATCACAGACTCATTCCGTAACGAGGGATCACCAAGAAGCAACTTCAAGTTCATTACCTACCGGCACAAAAACAACTCGCAGCCGTCCTCACCAAACCATTGGCTCGACTCCCCCTTTCGGCAGTTTTGTTCAAAGTTTCACCTCTCCGAAGTTCCACTTCCCACACTCTGTTTTTCTGTTCCTTCTTTTTCAGCTCTACCTTTCCTTAGTCTTCGAACTGCTTAGAACAAAAAGTTGATGTGTAAAAGCTATAAATAAAGAGAAACACATGATTCTTGAGACTCTTTCAAAAGGTACCCCAATGCTATATATATAATACTTTGTACGTAAAGGTGCTGCCAAGATTAAGAGTGTTTTCGTTCTCCTTTACAACTACAGACTACAAGGAGAAAACGTTCCTTCTTCCGAGGATGTAGTCAAGAAGCCAACTCCACAACAATAATTATGCCGACAGCCGATGGTTGCCCGATGAATTGTCGTTCAAAATCTTGTCTAGGCTGCATCAAGCCGCCTCCGACGCCCGATTCCTCTGCGTCAGCAGATCATGGCGCCGCTTCCTATATGATCCCGACTTCTTTCGGAAATTCTTCTTCTTCTCCCCTTACGTGGAAGAAGAGGTGGGATGGCAGGTTCTGATATATCATCCCTCCAGATATAACTCGAGGACGGCTACAGAGATTCGGATACCGGTCCATCGTGGGTTTCTCGGACGAGATATTTTTCATAACCAACTGTATTTTTCATAACCAACTGTAACGGTGAAGAAATCGCTCTATGAAATCCTTTGAATTCTGAAACAAATTTGTTTCCCTTGCTGGTCGACATGCTCCCTTCTACTACCAAGACCCACATTACCGGGTTTGGTTTCGACCCGGTAACGGGTGACTATAAGGTAGTTGCTAGGCATTACGATCATTGGAAATTCCAAACGACCCTCATGTATAGCTTCAGGAATGATTATGATTCCTAGAGGCGCCTGGACGATAGTGAACATAATGTGGAAGCGACCGCATGTTGGGAAAACTACCACACAAGGGCTCCGTACACCTACAAAACAAGGGTATGTTGTCACCCTTGCACGTCTAGAATCGAGCGATGTCACTGGTGGACACCATGCCGCACACGGCTGCAACCATATTGCTAATTAGTGTTGGGAGAACGACAGTGATAATAATTCCCTCAATTTCACTACGTTTGACATGAGTAGTGAAGCATCCACGGTACTAGGGTTGCCCATGCCAACAGGGGCACAACTTCATTGCGTGCACGAAAATTCGTTTCATATGGGTAGAGATGGAGCGTTGTTGATAGTCGCTCTATCTAGGATGGACTTTGTGTAAGAAGGGAGAGGTTGGTCTTGGTTCTTCAAGGTGTTGGCAGCCCTAGATTATGTGGCGCTTGGGAGGGGTGAGTGCTTTTGGATTAGGTTACACAATGTTTGTTTTGATGATCCTCCACCTTCTTGTCCCGTTCTCGGATTTTGAAAACATAGTAAGTGGTTCGCCCATGGCTGGTTCACCAACAGGAAGAAAGGGCTTTGACTTGTGAATACGAAGAGGGAGGAGTTGAATAGTAGCATTGATAATCATGTTGAGATTAAAGGGGATGGTTCGCATGTAGACTACTATCGGAGCCCATTTCACGATAGCATTTAGGGTTTTCCATCGGTCTCTACTCGACTAGGAGCTTGTTGCAACTCTGAGTGAGAGATGATCTATCTTGGTATCGCTAGGTTAAAAGCGTCGGTTCTAATGGTTTAGAATTTACAAGTACTTTCAATGGTTTGTTATGAGAACAGAGTTTTCTTAAAAATTATTACTAGATAATTGACCCGCTCTTCACGCTGGATTTATATGAAAAGAATATATATTGAATATATAATTAAGAGTAAACCGAAGTATTGTTTTCAGTTGAGATGATGTTCTTGCGCTAATATTAACATTTTAAGTTTATTAACCTTTTGGATACGAAGATGATTTTGGATTAAATAACACTTGCACTATAATGTGAGAATTTCTAAAGTATTATAGTTATAGATTGGCCATTTTAGGTTTTAAAATGGTTTACCTGAAACATTGTGTTTTCTTTTGTAATATATATCTAATTAAAAATTTTAATAGGTTAAACTTTAAAGATATATATAGGTATTACAATTTGAACGTGTTTCGTCGGTATTATCTTATTTGACCCGTGTTATGGAGAGTATTATTCATAGTAGCCTGGGGTAAGCTATGGGTACTACTTTCGCCCTATTTCTCCTCGCCCACCCTGCTCTAGACTTGTTCTATCTTGATTTGCTTCAATATCAGTTTGTATTTCTTATATTTTCATTATTTTTAGCAGCGAGTCAACGAAGGGTAGGATGGTTGCTCATTTTTCTTATGTATTCCTGAGCTGGCTTTCCTTGTTTTTTAGGGATTTGTCAATTTTAGCACCATTGGATCTTCGTGCTCCATTTCTCCATTTATTTTCCTATGGATAACAAAAACAAAAGAAACTATCAAAGTAACAAAATAGAGGGAAAGCAAGAGCTTCTCCTCCTTAGCATGAAATTGAAATAAATTGAAAAAGACAGAAAATATGGGTTGTCTCCAAGTGTACCATCCTTCTTATTCTTTTGGCTTGATAGTGGATCATGAAGTAGCAGTCACCTTAGTCTCCACCTTACACCTTTTACTCCACACTTTGAATTTTGAATCTCGAGCATGTGGTAGAGGTAATGATACAATGAGGGACTTATGTATTCCTCTCTTTGTGTTGGATATGACGCTACGTTGTCATGGCTCTCCAGAAATGCTGCAAATGGATCCTCATCAAGTAGTCTATTGAGATCTGGTCTGACTCCTTGATGTATCTCCATCTTGTTTTTGAAATTTTCTTCATGGTCTCCAAATTTAGGAATATCATCATCTATCTTTTCACCAAGAGTGCTCTTGTAAATGGTGAACTCTTCTTGCTCAACCCTTACTTCTTCAAGGTTTTATTTTCCAAGGTTTGTGTAAATCCTTGAGAAGGTGATCTAAAGGAATGTTGAACGGGTTATCCTCTCCAAAACTTAGTTCTTCTATGCACAGAGCTCTATTGTTTGGTGTAGGTGGGATGTCTACTCCTTTATCTTTTTTCCTTTGTTATAGAGGGTAATGTAGAGGTTTCTTCTTTTCCAAGACCGAAGAGGAAGTCTTTGTAAGTTTCTACTCCTAACTCGAGTTGAACTCTTGATGGGTGTGGCTGCCTCTAGAAGGAGATCATCTGGATGATACTCTTATTTGATGAGCTCCTCCAAGATCTCTAGAATTGTGGGGACATCTTGATCTTTGTCTAAGTTGAGCTCCATGTTGGTCTAGTCATCAACGTTTCTTATAGGTGGCTCCTCTTGAAGCTTCTCCTTTGGTTGGATATGTTGAGATGCGTGCTCCTCTAGTGGCTCATTTCCTTCATTCTACATTTGATGTTGATTTTCCTTGACAGACTTCTACTCCACGATCTCTTCTTCAATGCTCGGTTCAACGATTGTTGTTGAACATTGAATAAGAGGTCCAGGGGGGTTATCGTACTCGAACTCTTCCTCCTAGATGTTTCCAATGGTGGATTTCTTGGTAGATGAAGTACTCCTGGATTCATATTGAAGAAGGCGTAGGAAGTGCTCAAAGCCTTCGAGTGGTGTAAAGCCTTCAACATCTTCCCACGAATCCAAAAAGGTTTGGTTTGGTGTAAGTTCTTCAATGTTTCTTCCTTCTTCTTCTTCTTCCATTACTACTCCTAGGGGTTGTATCTCGACCCCTCTTTCTTAAGAAGTTGTAAGATCATTATCTTCATCTTAAATTTCGTTGGTCTCCAGATGATCTCCTTCTAGAGGCTCTTTGATAGGTTGATCAATTTCCTTCTCTTCTTGGATAGTTTGAAGATGCTCTATCATGGTTTCCATGGCTTGTATGATGCTTTCATCAAGTTGTGAGTGGCTTTCTTTTTCCATTGCATCTTCTTGAGGGGGTCTATTGCCTTCTTCTTCCAAAGCTTGAGTTATTAACTCATCTTATTCTTCGTTGTACTCATGTTGATCCTTTTCTCCATGGTCCACAATAAAATAATCTTCTTCCTTGTTAGCATTGAGATGATCTTCCTCTTCTACATGGTTCACGAAATCTTAATGCTCCATAAGCCCTTATTGTGCCTTGATCTCTTCAAAACCTTCGCGCATTTCATTGGAACTTCCTTTATCGGCTTCAGAAGGCTCCTTGATGATATGAACATTTCTAGCAATTGCTTGAACCCTTCTTATTGGATGCTAGCATCGATGTGCCTAGGAGGTCTTGACTTGATCTCGCGTCTCAATTGAAGGAAAGCAATATGTTTCCTTTGTTGAGTAGTGACATATGTTTCCTCTACAGTTATGTAGTTTCTATATATTTCCCTCATTATCTTTAAGTCTTCTGGATCCACTTCATCATCATTCCAATCCATATGTATCTTTTGTTGAGAGTGACATAATGGAAGATGATTGGTGTTGCTTGCAATTTTTTCCATTTTGGATAGCTTTCCAAAGACGGTTGTATTCTTAAAATTTCTTATAACTTCGTGCTCCGTAAAAAAAACACGGTAGTGCAAGACTCGTGATTTTTGCGGATGCAAAGATCTCGAAAAGTTATGAAATAATGGCTAATTTGAGGCAACAAATGACCTTATTTGGAGATGAAAGTCGTAGAAACCTCGTTCAATTGTTTGCAGATACAAAGATCTGGGAAAGTTGTGCAAAATAATTAAAAAAACAATGCACATTGATCATATAACCAAGCATAAAGCTACTGTCGTTTTGAATTTTTTTCCTCCCTATATTAACACACTATTCATTGAGGTCTCAAGCGATCCGTGTGCGAACTGCTAGAAATTGTCGAGATCTCAAGCGATATGTAACAGATCACTCTAGTCTAAAGAGATTTGCCCCAAAACATGCGTAATTTGAGAATTTCTAAAAAAATTATTGTATTTTACTATTTTGAGAATTTCTTATAGCAACGTGTGTACTAAGAAAGGGGGGAAAAAGCCACGGCAGGTTGAAGGTGAAAAGCAAGAAATATACTAATAGATAAAATACAGGAGAAGCAAAAGGTTCTTCATAAGGAATGAGGCGCAGCAGAAGAAGGGGAGCAGGAAAGAAAAAGGAAAAAGATAGGAATAGAGAAACCTGCCATGGCATTTGAGAGAAAGATGTCATGCATTTTCATTATGAGTTGTATCCATTCGCATTCTCGATCATTATTAGTTCTCAAGTAGTTTGCTTATTATGAACCATCAAGAATATCTGTGCTTAAATTGTTGGTTGTTATAACTTATAACATTGAAGAAATCACCTTGGTATTCAACAACTCCAGATAAATAAAGAGAAATAAAAGAACTTATCAGCCTGATTTTACATCAAATAGCTAATGTGGCTTTGGTTTGGAGAAAGATAGGCTACATCGCCATTCATGTGATCCCACAAGTCGCAACTGACTTTGACAGCTTCTGAAACCACAAAACTAGATCTCCAAGGAGGGTTCACAAGTGTGCAAAGAAGACCTCATACAAAGATACAACTCCTAAAAGACTCTTCTTCTCCTTAGATGGGCATACCTTTGGGCACAATTAGATTTTTGATCCACATGTAGATGGGTACCAATACATAATATGCTCCGGCCATGGCACCCAAAATGAGGCGCATCAGGAACACAAACGGTTTTACAGGCTTTGACACATCCTCAGCCTTCGGACCAAGCTGTCATAATCCCAACCAAACCGAGTCAGAAGCCATTTTCACATGCAGCAACTGTTCAAGAAGACAACTAGCAAGCAGAAACAACTCAAGTGCAATGCAGTATATGAGAGTAATGGATCATGGAAGCATGGTATTTTCCTTAAGTATGCAACTCAATCCCGTAACTGAAAGGATTAATTATAAAAGAGAATGCTGTAGAGTAGATAAAGGTTCACCATCAGCTTTGAAATATGCATAAAAAAGAGTATCCGCGAAGCAACAATATATATTAAGCTAATAAGCTCCCACCTGGAGAAACAAAAAATAGAAAGATCTTCTCAGTGTTTCAACACCTACTGTTCGAGATTAACAGATTTTCAAGTCTGAAGTTTGAAACATCTGAAAATGATGACCTTTTACGCACCACCAACTTTAAATATCACAGCAGTAATACTACAAAGAAACCAGGACCATGTCCTCTCACGATAACTCCTTGCTCTTGCCGATATGTAGTGACAGAAACAATATCTAGGCAGCCTTACAAAGCCTATGTTAGTTGCACATATCCTTTTACAAATGTAGTCACCGCTTGACACGGTTAGAGAAGGCAAAACAAAAGTTGACGAATGATTACCTGCAAAGGAGAATCTCCAGACGCAGGTTTAACACCTGTAACAGAACATCCCATGATAAGTCCATGTCGACGAACACCACGATACCACTTTGGCCCAATCCGCTTTAATTGAACATCCTTAAACCCAGCCTTCGTAAACCACTCAATGTACTCTTCCTCCTTCGGGAAGAGCATCCAGGCGTCCGCAAAGAAGCGAGACAACCAAAATGTAGGATAAACAGGACCAATTAAACATGCTTTTCCACCCAGCTTCAAGACCCTATATGCCTCTCTGATTCCACGCTGTGGGTCAGGCCAGTACTCAATACTGATAAAATTCCACAAAAGGTAGTTACTAGTTAGAGACACAATTAGGGAATTTAACTCAATGTCAAACGGCACTGTAATAAAGAAGTTGGATTCTTCGTAGAATCTGCACCACAGTTTCTGTCTCATTATATTGGTAAGAGGTGTTTCTGAAAGCGCCAACCAAATTCTGAGTTACTCTATGTAGTCCTCCAAAGTAATTCGCTATATAGATGAAGTCTTAAAGCAGCAACTCATTATAGATTGTTATTGCTAAAGCATGCCTAAATTCTGAAGTAGAAAACCATCATAATAGTGGATTGAGTTCAACTAAAAAAGACATTACCTCCCAGCAGATACATATCTATCCGCATAATCAGTCTTAAAGGGTAGGTCTTCAGCATCACCCAGCACAAACTTGCATTCCTTTAGAGGCTCCTTCTGCTTGGCCTTTGCCAGCTGATGCGGAGACTGATCCAGAATGGTGACATTTTTGGCATCCACGTGCTTCACAATCCCCAGAGTGGTGAAACCAGTACCACCACCCACATCCACCACAATCATTCTCCTGTCACTGAGATCAGCAGGCTCAAGGGCATCATCCCTCATGTCCTCGGTCCAGTGGCCAGGGTTTATCACATGGTCATACACAATAGACAGGAATCTGTAAAACCAAAATGCCTCTTGCTTGTGCTGTATAAACCTGGGCTGGGATGCTGGTCTGGAGGCAGATAAGCTGCACTTAGGCACCATTGTCGCACACCTAGACATCCTATTGACAGATACTAAATTCAATTTAGGGAAATTCCTCCCCTGCAAATCTGAACCCACAACGCCTAACCCTCTTGGGGTTATGCCAACCCCTCTAAGGAGAGCGAAGTTTTCAGCTCCGTTCACAATCGAAGAGGCCATCGTGATTGGATCAAATCGCGAGAGGCCCCAACACACCAACAAAAGGGGAAAGAATTGAAATTGATGACCCTCAACAGAAACCCAAATTTCCTACTGATACAGGAGGATTTCTGCGAACCAGTACCCGCACGAATCCTATTCCCGCACTTGGGAAGCGTCACACTGCCTGCGTAGGGAGGCAGTTATTAGTGAGAGAATCTGCAGAAATTTGACGGAAAATAAGAACTCCTGGCGGCCGGAAATGGGAGGCGAAGAATGGAGAAGGCGCGGGGAGACTTACCAGCTAACAGTAGGAGTGAAGTGCTGTACTTTGTGGCTGTGGAGAGTGTGCAACGCGAGCGAGACGTATTAAATTGGGAAGCGAGTATGTGGTGGCAATTGGACGGTTAAGGGAAGTTCGATTGGGGATTTATGGGATAGCCTGGCGGGTGGCCGGGTTTGGACGCTCTGCTGTCGGCCGGCAAAACAATTAGGGATGGCAAAAATATCCGTAACCGTGGATATCCGTCCGAATCCGACCTAATCGGATAGGGTAAAACTCGAACCCGAAGGACTTTTTGTGGGTACGGGTAAAACCCGAACCCGAATATTGAGGGAAATGGGTGGGCATGGTTTTCTCACTATACAACCCGAACCCGCCCGATTATACATATGCATATGTATTTTGTCTAGAAATAATCAATATTTTTCTCTAACGTATTTTATGTTTAGCATATAAATATAATTTTTTTTGAAATTGTGTTGTTTTAATTAATTTTGTTCATTCTAGTGAATAATTGTCGTACTTTTCGTCTTACGTAACGTGAGAATACGTGTGAATATTAATATATTGGTTGAAGTTATAAAGAGAAACCATTACCCATGAATAACCGTGGTTACCCGAAACCCGAATGGGTATGGGCATGGTTTGAATTTTCTACCCGTTTCTTATGTGGGTATGGGTATGGGTAAAACCCGAACTACTTTGGGTAGGGTAACGGATATGCACTATCCATTCCCGACCCGACCCATTGCCATCCCTAAAAACAATCGGTTATTAGCCTAGTAGTGGCCAAGAATGTAATTTCTTTGTTTTCTCTAGGTTGTAATTGTTAACAAATCTAAAACGGAAACATAATCAGAAACGGATTTATATGGTATCTCTAGAATTCAAGAACTAATTCACGGAAGAGGTTGAACACTCTTCGACTACTGTTCTTATTGATAGATTTTATTGCGGCTACAAACTACACCTCCTCTACAAATACCAAGATCGGTCGAACCCTAGCACACACGCCTTCACCCATACACGACGTGGGCTTGCATGGGTTGCATGGGCCTCGTCCATTCTCACTATTGGGCCACGACTACTACTACTTACTAACACTAATACAAGAGACATAAACTGATTACATATTCAATAACCTCCCCCAAATTGATGCCGATTAACAAGCATCAATTTGTCAGACAGAAAACAATGGCGACCAGTTGAAAATGTCTTTGTAAGAAAGTCTACGACCTGACCTTCGATACTTATGTAGTGTAGAGCAATAGCACCATCCCGAACTTCATCCTTGATATAATGCACATGAATCTCAATGTTCTTCGTGCAATCGTGGAAGTCTGGGTTCTCTGCAATCTGAATGGCGCTGGTGGTGTCCATGTACAAATCCATAGGGCCAGTACATTCCATGCCCATATCAGTAAGAAGTCGTCGCATCCATGTCATTTCTAAAGTGACATCAGACATCGCCCGATATTCAGCTTATGTAGAAGATTTGGATACCTTATCATGTTTCTTGCATCGCCAGGATATAAAAGAATTCCCGAATTGAACACACCAACCCGTAGTAGAACGTCTCGTATCAATACATCCTGCATAGTCTGAGTCAAAGTAGGCTCGCAGAGTTGAAGACCCAGAAGAAGGAAACAATATCCCAACTTCTTTCGTGCCCTACAAGTACCTGAGTATCTGATACACGACAATGAAATTATCAGCTCTCGGATCAGCCATGAATTGAGAAACCAACTGCACCGCATATGAAATGACTGGCCTCGTAGCAGAAAAATAGATCAAACTGCTGACTATATTCTACTACTACGATCCATCTTTCACCTTCTCCCCTGAATCCCGACTTAACCTGAGATTTAGCACCATCGGTGTGTTTACAGGTTTACAGTATTCCATGGTGTAGTCACCTAACAGATCAACAATGTACTTCCTATGACTGAGGAATATCCCATCCTTAGTACGAGAAACTTCCAGGCTCCAGCCTGAGGAAGTAAGACAACTGCCCCAAATCCTTTATCCGAAAAGCAGCCTGCAATCCTTCTTTTAACTAACGAATACTGACTAGATCAGAACCTGTGATGATCATATCATCCACATATAGTAGAAGGAGAATAATGCCACGGGATGAGGTCTTAATGAAGAGAGATGGATCATTCAAACTTTGACTATAACCAAGCCCCACAAGAGTCGACTCAAATTTATCGAACTAGGCACAAGGTGGTTGTTCAACCTGTATAGTGATCGGTTGAGTCTGCATACCTGTCCAGGAGTCCCAACATGATAACCAGGATCGCCATGAAGATAAGCGTTCTTCACATCAAGCTGAGCGAGATACCAGTTTTTCATAGAAGCAACAACCACGAGAGTCTTCACTGTAGACATACGTGCCACAGGAGAAAACGTCTCATTATAATTCACCCCATGCTCCTGTCCTGTGTATAACTCAATGTGACAACTCTCGCCTTATGTTGTTCAATGGTGCCATCATGATACATCTTGATCGTAGAAAACAAACGACTGTCAATCGTAGGAGTATCAGGAGCAGGACAGTCAACAACAGTCCAAGTATTATTCGCATAGAGAGTATCAAATTAATTCCCCATCACCTCCTCCCACAGTGGATCACCCTTAGCATCTCTATACCTAGTAGGCACCACAAGAGTTTGCACACCATGTGCAACAAAACTGTCGAAGCGAGCTGGAGGAATGCCCTTTGTCGAATGCAGAGAGCGGCGAGGAGGAGTGGGTGGCAACGGCGACGTTCCAGGGTAAGAGGAACTCGGAGAACTAGCAGGGGACGAACCAAGAGGACTGGTGGAGGAAGATGCATGTGATGAAGACGACGAAGGAGATGCACCTAGGGAGTTCGTATTATCAGGGGAATAAAATTGTCCAGGACAACAATGGGTTCCTCTTCTTGCGGGGAACATGGGCAAGGAACTAGACAAACGAAAGATTGACTGAGAAGGAGAAATTGACTAAAAAATTGGAGGTGGTAAAAAAAGACTACTGTGCCAGCTACTCGAACTCGTTGAGTGACAGGATCATAACACATATATCTTTATGAATATCACTATAGCCCATGAAAGCACACTTGGCTGCTTTGGAAGTTAATTTAGTACGTTCTCATCTAGGAAGTAAGACAAAACACAGACAACCAAATACACGCAAACGAGAGTAGTCGGGAGGACGAAAATATAGTTTGAAAAACGGACTCTCATAACCAAGAAGGAGAGTGATCTGATAATTGATCAACCGCACTGCAGTAACAACAGCCTCTAGCCCAAAACGACCGGGAACAAAGGATGCTAACAGTAAGGCTCGCGTTAACTCAACAACATGACGATTTTTGCGCTCTACAATACCATTTTGTTGGGAGACTACAAGACACAATTTTTTACACAAAATGCCACGAGAGCGATAAACCTCACACAGAGGAGAAGAACTAAATTCTCCACCTAGATCGGAGCGAATGATTTTGACTGTTTTCCCAAATTGAGTTTGAATCATGTTCAGAAATTCAACAACCATAGAATGAAGATCATATTTTAAACGAAGACGATAAATCTAGGTGTATCGAGTGGCATGGTCAATAAAAAGTGCAAAATAACGAAAACCATGATGAGAAACAACGGGTGTTGCTGTGCTGGTCCCCAAATATTAGTTATCACATGAAAAGGGTCTTGAATAACAGTCATACTGGCAGGATAAGAAATACTAGCAGTTTTTGCTTCAACACAACTAGTGCAGGAATGACACTCTGAAACTCGTACATAAGTTTTGACCAACAATGACTTTTTAAACATAGCAGAAACATGAGCTGAGTAGGGATACCTTAGATGGGCATGCCAAAATTTCCATTGATTATTGGAAAGACTCGAAACAGGTAAACAAGAACTAGACTGCTGAAATGGCGAAGGACTACTGACAGACCTATGTAAGGATCCACTAATGACCGAAGACACTGAATTGCCCATGTAGTTCTTCTAGATGAAAAAGTCGAACTTGCTTACTCCCCTTCCAATCAGACTCATTGTCTTCGAATCTTTTATAAGACATCCAGACGGAAGAAACGACATAGTATAACCTTGCTCAGTAAGTTGATCAACAAAAATCAAGCTACGCACGAGAGCAGGCACATACAATTTATTATTCAACGACAACTCTTTGTTCTTAACATTACCCATACCCTTGGAATTTAATTTTGATCCATTAGCAACATTCAAGTCAATACTTTTCACCGGAGTCACATTCTTTAGCATTTTGGAATTTAACCTATGCCATGTAAAATCGAAAATGCTACACTAATTGCGGCAATGACTATTTGCTCAACGACCTGCACTATGACTCCCCCTGAATTCCCTTGGTCATTTGAGGTTCCAGTGGGTGTTGTGCCTCGGCTAGAACTAGCTTCTCCCGCACATGTTCCACGCAAGGGAATTTGCTGCTAGCGGGAGTCACCAACAGCAGCTGGATGCCAGCGCGAGCATCGACAGCCGAGTATGTGTCATAAGCAGATTTCTCACCATAACCTGGGTATGATAGATTAGCATTGTTGCGGCCTGGCGGAGGTCCACCCTCGCGAGTAGCATTTCTCTCATGTGTGCGACAATCAAGGATAATGTGACCCATACGTTTACAATAAACACAAAAGTTGTGACGACGATAATGCTTTAGTAAATGCCCTTTCTCACGACAATGGTGACACTCCAAATCTGAAGCTGAGACTCTCCTTTGAAATTGGGGGCGATTGAAAGCATAGGCAAAGGAGTCTTGACCCGAGCTATGGGAATTGGGGGCGGCAGAGGCTACAAGAGATTCGTCCTCTCCAAGACGCAAATCAATTGCAGCTCGTGTTCTAAGCCATATCTCCTCTCTCATGAGAGTACCCATCACGCCGTCAAATTGCAAAACAACACGATTCAACAAAGTGGCCAGGACGGATTCGAATTCGGGACGAAGCTTCATCAAAAAATTGAGGAGCCGAGTTTGGAGTCTCTTGACAATAGCTTCTTCGTCATCACGGCTTGCGGGCGAAGTGCAGCATGGAGAAAATCTCGCTCCGTCCAGAGTTCTTGAGCAGCATTAAAATACTCATAGATGGAGCGATCACCTTGTTCCAAACGGGTCAGGGAGAACCGAATCTCGAACTGACGAGCGATATTCATGGTGGATTACATGACGAAGAGATGGCGCCTCATACGATTGGCGGTCGGATACAAACAAAGACTGAGGATAGGTGAATGGATCCACTGTATCGAGGAGCCATGAGTGGACACGAGCATCATTCTGATTCCATGTGGCGACGACCTGTGCGTTGGCAGTCTCGGCTTTGGGGTTGGCAAGTGTGCCATCAAGGATGCCAAACAAGCCTTTCCCTTCGATGAATACCGAAAACTAAAATTCACAGAGAGCGTTGTTGGTCGAGTTTAGAAGAACAGAGTGCCTCTCAGATTCAATTGTCGGTGGCTCTGATACCATGTTAACAAATCTAAAACAGAAATGGAAATCAGACATTGATTTATGTGGTATCCCTGAAATCCTAGGACTAAACCACGGAAGAGGTTGAACACTCTTCGGCTACTATTCTTACTAGTAGATTTTGTTAATCGGCTACAAACTACACCTCCTTTACAAATACTAGGATCGACCAAACCCTAGCACACACACCCTCATCCATACACGACGTGGGCTTGCATGGGTTGCACGGGCCTCGTCCATTCTCACTATTGGAACACCACTACTACTATATACTTACACTAATACAAGAGACATAAACTGATTACATATTCAATACTGATGGTCTTAATTTTTTTGTTTGGCTTTCAGCGAAGGACGATGCCTGATTGCAGTAGTAAAGCGAACAGATTGGAGCTGGCTAGGAGATTCGAGGTTCGAGAAATGGAGATAGAGACAGATAGCCAGGGAATGATCTCCCAGCTTCGACGCGAGGAAAAAAGACAGATGTAGATTAGCAGGGGCGGAGGTAACTTGTTAGGAGGGGGTGCCTTGGCACACCCTTGCCTTGGGAGAACAAAGTTAAAAGAGTATATTAGATTGTTTATAATGAAATCTTGTACATGAACCACATTCTTATAGTCACAATATCACTAGGTGAACTTATTGTGGTAGTATTTAACTATGTTTTCCTTTTCAATTCCATTCAAAAAATTTCCTCTCAAACATGGTCTCTAAGTCGCTCGACTCTACCTTTTCATTCAACTGACTTTCATCGGCTATCCATGAGCACTAGAGAGTCTTTACCGTAACCCGCCATGGATTGGAATGATTAAAAAAATTATGAAGCACTAGTCGGTAGGATATATTGACAATAAGGTCTTTGATAGTTTAAATGAAGAATATATAATTTACAAGTTTTATTAGAGTAGAAAAATATTGTGAATCATTGCAAAAATTAATAGTTTCTCATATAAAATATATGTATTAAAAAATTGGAACCCCATTATAGCAAATCCTGGCTACGCCACTGGAGATTAGGCTGCTTTGTGAGGAGATTCGAGCAAAAGCCCATGCTATTGATAAGGTAATTTGGAGCTTTGCAGGCCGAAAATAAGAACAAACCGGCCCACTTCATGGCCCATGTGAACTACAACTGGGATGCAGAGGAGGTGTGGGTAGGCAGACCACCTTTTTTTTTTCTAGAACCTCTTCTTAGAGAGGATTATCCTGAAAACTTTTATGACTTTAATTAATCAATGGAATGCAGTTTTCTCTAAAATATATACGACTGACGTACGCTAGCCTGAACCATATATATATATGGTAATGACTGGTGTACGTCAGGCGTATAGTATACAGTAGGTGATCTAACCTTTAGATGTACTTAGATGATCTCCGGCCGATCTTAACGGTCAATTTTTGTTTTTCATTAAATCAAAATTCAGATTGTGCATACATATATATATGTCTTCGGTGCGCTCACTTTTTTGGTGCATTCAATGCACATGCCTCATAATCGTCATTGTAAGTTGTCGATTCATGTGTAAACGATGTCATTCATCACTTGTGGTATGATGAACAAAAACCACATGACTTTGTACAAAAATGATTCAAGATTCACTTTAATTTGAATGATTTAGGGTTTAGGAATTTAGGGTTAGGGTTTACAATTTGGGATTCAAAATTGAAGGTTAATAGGTTAGGGTAATGGATTGATTAGTTGTGATTTTGTGTTATATCATCATATTAGACTAATGCTATCCATTAACGTTCAGAATTTGATGCATTATGACCACTTTTAGAGTTGAGTGCATTGAATGCACCCCAAAAGTGAGTGCACCGAAGTACCGACTAAAAGCTAGGGTCCTTGTTCCTATCTTGAAATATGAGAGTATTTTCATTCAAGTTTCGGCTATTGTTAAGTTCTATATTTGAATATCTTGAGAAATAGAGTCAAGTGAAGTTCTAGCTATGATAACATTGATATATGAACTATATAGGATGGACCTTTGTGCATTAGGTAAGGGAATAGAAACATAAACTATAGAACCTATGTAGCACAAAAGTTGTTAGTGATAAATGTAAAAGAAAGTAAGGGAACATATAAAAGGGCATTTATCTTTTTTCCACGGATAGCTCGAGTATTTGGATCTAGGCACAAGTATGCTAACGAGACTCGGTGAAAATCATACGAGCTTGGGAGATTGTATCAACCTCTTGTTTTGGTTGTTCCGTTGATCACAAAACAGAGTACCTTGAATAGAGTAAAAACAGAGCAAGAAAATGCAAAGAGTTTCAAATGGATACATGATTTTTTTTTGTTAACGGAGTTCAGCTTATTGCTAACATCTTGGTTTAGAGGTGTCAGTGGCGGACCTATTTATAGCCAAGGTTTGTCAGTTGACGAACCTTAACTACAAAATTAAATAAAATCAGCCCATTAAAAATGATATTATCATTGGCAGGGTTTGAACTCTCCCCAATTTGAAAATGTCTACACGAATAGTAGCGTTCAACCACTATTCCACTAACCAATGGTTGTTATAGAAATTATAAATAAAATATATGATGACCCTAAATAATTATAGAAACTTTTCTAAATATGAAAACACGTTGTGGTTAGCTATGAGAAGTGATGAATTGATGTACTTTATGAATTAGGACTTTGTTATGGTGACTTACTTGCTACGATTTCATTGTAAAGACAGTTTCATGATGCCTACTTTGGAGATTCATATATTACAATTGGCTCGATCGAAATTGGAGATTAATGGCTTGTTAGGAAGTCCAGAAGACCATTTTTGAACCTGATCAAAAGGCTATGCACAAACTGAGAAACTGCCTGAAAATGGGTGTCGTGTATTTTTTGGCCCATTTTGTGAAGTGATAGACCAATAATTACACATGTTTGCACCCTTAGTTCTTATCCGTTTGCGGCTAGTAGTCGTGTATTTTTGGCCCATTTTATGTCGGGTTGTGCTACTTTGTCATATTTCAGGTCCCAGACGTCGAAGGAAAGGATAAGCACAAGTTTCGGGACATTTGGAGGTCATTCGGTCGAGCTGGGGCCAAAGCACGGGCAGGAGGCCTGAAGAACACGACCGTGTACAAAACAGGCAGGCCAGTGTTTTTATGTGCGAGAGCTGAACAGATGGAAAAGCAAAACACGGGCTGGCCTAAAGAAAAACACGTTCGTGTCCATATTTAGGCACGACCGTGTTTTGGCCGACGCGGGCGTGTTTTTAACACGTGGCAAGGGCACGGACGGGCAAAAGCAAAACATGGTCGTGCCCTCGACCGTGTTTTGCCCAGAGTCGACCTTTTTAGGCAGATTTGAGCCAAAAGATAAGGGGTTCCGAGTTTTAGAGAGAGAAAGCGATACCTAGAGAGAGAAAGTGACGAAACTGACTCTGAAAGTGTCATAGATCGATCTCCATCACCATTAGAGCCCGGCTTGAGCTTGGAGAAGATCTGATTGAGTGCCAGAAGCATATTATCATCCTTCACAGTATGGTTTCAGCATTTGAGCTAGATTTTCCATCTCTCTCTATGGTGTGGTTTTCTTATTCACCTGGGTATGAAGAACCCTAGATTTGTATAGGTATGATTGTATGAACCCAAGTACAGATTCATTGATATGATTATTTTCAATTGAGGTTTGATTTGTTGAATGGCATGAATCCTGATCAAATTCCTGTTGTTTCTGCTTTAACCTAGAAAGAGAATATCTGCCTAGGTTGATAGAGCACCCTTGATTAAAGGTAGTGAATTGGCGACTTTAGTCGAGAAGTCAATTCACTATTCTGTACCGAATTTACTTCGGTAGTCGAGGTTTGGTTCGTTAGGGCCTCAATCTGTTTACTCCGGTGGAGGTTAGTCGCCCGCTGGGGACTCAGATTGAGAGGGTCTGGAGACCTTTAGTCGAGACTTCAGACTGTTTAAGAACCTCCCGCAGTATAACTATCATTGAAATTGAACTTGGTAAATTACAATCCGGCTTAACTGCAGTCTAGGGGGAACCATATCCAGATGACCTCTCTCGACTTGAAAACAACCGTTTAATTGCTTGCTTGTTTGCTTGTTTGGACATGCATTAAAGTTTCACTGCTAAATAATAAGAACTCACGGAGTAGTCATCACATCTAGGACCCGGGTTGACATTAAAACCCAAACCCGCTATACTACGCTTTAGGAAGTGGTTACACTTGGCCATTTTCTAGAGTGACGGTAGGAGCGAGTCAAGTTTTTGGCATCGTTGCCGGGGATGGCTAGGTTGTTGAAGAAACGTGAATTCTGTTAATTTAGCTTTTCTTTTTCGCATTTTTTGCTTTGTCACACTTGTGCCTTCACGGGTTTTCTTGTTTGGCTGTGTGCAGGTAGTGCATGACCCGTAGCTAGTCGAGAGGTTTACTGCCGTTGGATCCGGAGCTTGAACGCACCTGTCGCCAACTTAGGAGACAACAGCGAGCTAGACTGGCTACGGAGGAGCGCATAGACGGCCACTTGAGCAGCGATTCTGAGGAAGAGTACGAGATGGAAGACGAACACCACCCACCCCAGTGGAATCCTCTCCAGGTTCCCCCAGTGAATCAGATCTTGGGGAACAACCCCATACCCCAGTCAGATTGGGTTCATCATCAACCACCGCCGCAGGGTCCCACCTTGGAGTACTACTACACTCCACGGGTTGCTGATATCCGTCCTGTCATCCTCTATCCGCCGATTCCAGCGAACAATTTCGAGAACAAGCCATGCTGGATTCAACTCATACAACCTCTATCCAGTTTCATGGCTTGAAGGATGAGGAGGCAAGGGTGCACCTTTCCCGTTTCCTGCAGTTGACGAACGGGTTCAAGCTAAACGGTGTCCCTGATGATGCAATCTGCCTTCACCTCTTCCCCCATTCTCTGGCGGGGCATGCTAAGAGGTGGTTGGAGACCCAGCCCCCATTGTCCATCACTTCTTGGGACGATCTGGCCAACAAGTTCGTGCACAGGTACTATCCGGCATCGAAGACTACAAAGATTCAGCGGGAGATCACCCACTTCCGCCAAGAGCCAGATGAGTCACTTCGTGATGCATGGGAGCGGTATATGGGATTTTTCTGCCAGTGTCCCCATCATGGCTTCAGTGATGCATTCACCGTGGGGAACTTCTACAGCGCTGTCTCTCCGGAAAGCCACAGGGTGATTGAGTCTCTATGCCTAGGAGGGGATATTCTTACTAAGACTCCACCCCAACTGAACCAGATGATCAGTACATTGGCTGCCATAGATCATTCCTGGGGGCAGAGCAGCAGAGGCAGGAATTCCCGAGATCGTGGTGTGCACGCCATGGAGGCCAGGTTCGGGCTCGAGCAGCAGGTGGTTGAGTTAGTGCAGACAGAGGTTTGGCTACACCTCCAGTAGCTCAATTTCAGTGGTGTGAGAGCTCAAATCATCTGGTGGAAGACTGCCAGGCTATGCGTGAGTCCTCTACTCCCCAAGAGCAGTTGGACTTCATCGCTAATGCTCGGCGCCTTGACCCATACAGCAATACATACAATGAGGGGTGGCGCCAGCATCCCAACTTCGCTTGGAACAACAACACCACTAAACCACCTGGTTTCCCAGCACCAACGGGTGGTTTTCAGCAGAGGCAGCCTTTCCAGGCTAGACAGGGGCCAGTCCCTCAGCAGCAGCCTTACCAACCGAGGCAGGGGCAACCATTTCAGCAGCCCCAGCGTCAGTATGCCGAGCCAGCAGCAGCTCCAGCTCCCGATAATCAGATGACCAAGCTGAAAAACATTCTAGCGGCATTCATGACTACCAGCCAGACGAATTTCACGAGGATGGACCAGAACATAGCATCACTGGAGGCAGGCCAGAGGAACCAGGGTGCCATTTTGCAAGATTTTTAGAACCAGGTTGGTGACATAGCTCGCCAAATTAATACCCGAGCCCGGGAACTCTACCTGCCACAACCATCCCCAATCCACGGGAGCCGCACCAGCAGCTGAATGCCATCACCACCAGGAGTGGCAAGTCCACGGCGGTTCCTGCCCAGGCTAGGGAGGAAGAGCCACTGCTTGCTTTAGCACTTCTTGCTGACGATGCAGAAGTGAGGGTGGAGAAGGAAGCCCCTGCTCCCAAGCCACAACCGGTGGTCAAGGAGCACGTACCCCAGCTTCCCTTCCCCACTCGACTACACAAAGATAAGCTCGAGACTGAGTTTGCCAAGTTCATGGAAATGTTGAAGCAGCTCAACGTCAGCATACCTTTCATGGAGGCATAGTCGAAGATGCCCAAGTAC